CCTCAGCGAATTTTACTTGCCCTCCGGTAGCCACGCCCCCGGTAGCTGGTGCAAGAGACCTCAGTTGTCAGCACTGGTGGGAGCTATAGCCCGGAGTTCCGCGCTCTGGGTCCCGCGCCACTTCTGATTCCCTCTGTCTGGCTATCGCGCTCATGGGAGAGCTGGGAGGGGCCCTTAAGGTTTCCCCGATGTGTGGAGAGGGAAGGCTAGGGGATTACACACCTGTAGCCACAGGTTTCAATGTAGTTATCTCCTCAAATTTATAAAAGAGTATAAATTGGAGAAAATATTTACTATAAATATGGTAGATGAATATGATAGTTTCTTAAATAATAAACAGGTAAGAGCAAATAATTTAAAAGAGAATTAGCAAATAGCAAAAGGGTTATTAATTTATGGTCAAAGAAATATGAATCAAATAAGGAAATATAATTTTCTTTCAAAAGTATTTGAACATATTCATGGGGTAATGTGGTGATTTATACACTTGTGTAATGCTCAAAAAGATACTTCGTTAGCATTTGTATCTCCTAAAACACTTTTAATTTTTTTTTCATTAACATGTAATCATAATTTATATTTGTGGGATAATTTGGGGTTTATATGTGATTTTTCAGTACCATTGGGTTCACCTAATTGTGTACTCATATGATTTAATTTTCATCACATGCGCATGAACTTGTTTCCTTTGAGAGCCAGTTAACCTATTTTTTTAAATTTTTTTACATATAATTGTTTTAATTCATATGAAATGTATTTTAGTACATAAAGTGAGACTCAACTTAAAGCTATTATAAAAATAAAATCTAGTTAGCTTATAAGAGTGAAGTTTAGAATTGTGAAATATACTAAAGGAAATGAAGTAATGTGAATATTAATTAGCATTAATGATACAAGCATTTTGTATATTTTAGGGATTTGGGAACCAGACGAATTCAGATAATGTTGCTGAGATCTTTGCTTATGGTAAGGTGCTTCATGCAGGTGAAGGACACACACTTAAACCTCAAAGCCTGGGAAAGATTAAAGGAATAATTTTACATTGTGTGATTTCTTATTTAATAAGAAAATGTGACTATTTTTTGGTGTGGTTTGTGTACCTAAATATTAAGCTCTTCATTTTTTAAAATTCTGTGCTTTGCACTGATATTCTTCTATTATTTTCTTTGACCTTCATTCTGATGAATCAAAGTGGGCAGAACTCTTGCTGTTTCACAGATGGAGTTGCCTAGGCTAAGAACTTTGTGTGGAAGGACTTGAGGTTCACTGCGGTCAGTGAGCTAAAAGGTAGATCCTGGACTTGGAAACCCCAAGTTCCTTTTACATATTGTGCTATTTTCTACATACTGTCCAAACATTTTCTTCTTGTTGGGAAAGCAAATCATAAAAATGACAATTTGTCATTTGAAATTTGGAGTGGCTGTAGATAGCCGAAAAGGAAATATATACCCCAAATGGGAGATGTTGTGGTTACTTTATAGCAGTTGCACTCATGTTTGATTTACGTGCACCTAGCATAATGCCATGGATATAGTAGGTACTGGTTGTTTGAAATGTGTGTCCTTCCAAATACTATCCTTCAAATTTATTCTAGAAATCAAGGCCCCATTTTTAAAGAAAATATCACACATCTAGGATACGTATGAAATATCTTCCTGTTTCATTTTTAATTTCTTGTTGTTTGGCTTGCAGAAGTTTTAAATTGTAATATAGCTAGATTATCAGTTCTTTTCTATGGGTTTTGCCCCTTTTATTTTTGTCTGGTTTAAGAACTCTTTGCCTATTCTGATGATATAAACTCATTTGTTTTAGCATTTTTTCAAAAATATTTGAAATTTGTCTTGTCATGTTTAGATAAGTGGTGTGAGGCATGGAGTATTTTTAATTTTTCTAGATAGGAAGAAAATTGTCCTATTGATTTCCCTACTAATTAATAAAGTCAACTTCACCTCATTAATAAGTGCCCAAATACAAATGTTAAATGTTCCATATATGCTTAAAATCCTGAAAATAAGTTGAAATTATCCACCTGAAATTTTATTTGTTTCTGAGACCTTTATATTAAACAAATTCCACAGGTAATTATGCTTTAGAAGATATTGATGCTCTCATAAACATCAAATCATGTAACTAATGAAGTATAGCTTTTCGGGGGGGGGGATATTATATATAACCAACTTCTTTATTTAAAATAAAAAAATAATTGACAAACTTAAATTTAAAATTTGCAGTTCTTGTCTTTACTATTTGCCACCTGGTCTCCTTATATTCATCTGTTTTGTACTGACTATGTATTCTGTATATTCTTAACTTTAAATTCCTTTTATAAGATTGAGGTATATTGAGCCTATCTTACAGGGATGTGGTGAAGACAAAGTTAATACGTATATAATGCTTAGAATTGTGCCTAGCAAATGGTAAATTAATTGTTATTTTATTCTTATGAAAGATGTTTTTGTACATTCAGTAAAATCCTTCATCACCTTATAAACTTTCTTTATATCTTTCCTTTAGGCTTATATCCATACTTTCTATTTCCCTAAATGTATGATTTTAGAAAATAATGTGAGAACTTTACCAAAGAAAGATTCTTGACAAATATTTTTCATTTTTTTATTTTCTTCTCTATGAATAGGTAACCTCTGGTTACAAAGCCAAGACGATTGTTACTGCACTGCCAGGGTCATTTCTGGATCCTTTGTTATCACCATCTCTCATGGAAGATTATGAACTGAGGCAGTTAGTCTTGGAAGTAATGCACAATCTCATGGATCGCCATGACAATAGGGCAAAGCTTCGAGGGATCAGGTGATGTGTCATGTTGAAATGAGCTACATAATGCTTTTACTCTGAATTAATATGTTACTTAAGTGTTGTGTGATTTTTTTTAATGTAGAATTTTCAGTTTTTTAAATTGGTGTGGATTTTAATATACTTTTCAGAGTTCTCATCTACTAGCCATGTCCAGTTAAGTGGATTTTATTTTTACTTTGTAGTTTTGCTTTAAATTTAGCAATGACAAGCAGTCAAGATTATGTATTTCTTAATTAAACTTCATAATTCAGTAGTATCATTTCAGATAGGCATATTTAAAATGCTTATTGAAATGAGTATTATATAGTTCATATTCCTGAGCTTAAATATAGTTTTCCATGTAAGACATGATATTGTAACCAAATGTACTGTTAATTAAAAATAATACATTGTCTCTAGAATAATACCAGATGTAGCTGACCTAAAGATAAAAAGAGAAAAAATTTGTAGACAAGACACAAGTTTCATGAAAAAGGTAAGATCATCTTCTAAAAATAAAATGTGTGCTATAAGTTATAGTCATTTGAATTGTTAGCTTTTTTTTTTAGTTGATTTCTTACCTTAAAATGAACCCCCTGAACTTAGAGTTTAAAGACCTCATGTTTCAACTTCAGCCTCCTTCCATGGCCCTAGCAGTCCTGCAGTGTCTCTTCTAGCCTGTGTGTGAACTGTGGGTTGTTAGGCTGCTTCAACATTATTTTGAGAGAAATTACTGCCCTGTTCTCCCCTACCCAAAACACACACACATGAAACCACTTTTAGTGGCTCTTTTATAAAGAGCTTCAAGTTTTTGAAAATGGCTATCTTCATTGAATGAATAACTATAATGAATGCTTACTATTTGTTAGATTGTATTCTACACAGCATTTGAGATATAAAGATGAGTTAGGTAGGGTCTCTGCCCTTAATAAGTCTTATCTGGCTAGATTTCTATGATGAAAAAATAAATTCTGTATGTCTGTTAGAAATGTCCAAATTTAGAAAATGATGCCAAGGTCATTTAGTGTTTTGAGAAAGCTCTCTACATAGTTACTAGTTATCCAGAGCTTGGTCACCTAATATTTGGCTGACACTGAGCTTCACGTTGAGAGATGCACACAGATGCCTCTGATCTTAGTGAGTAAGAGGGCCTTGTGTTTAGAGGTGCAGAGATGGGAGACACTTGCAAAGACCAATCTAATCCGTGTGCTCCTTTGCCTCTTTAGTAGACTGTTCTTTCTCTCTGCCATCATCCTTAATGTTACTGGCCCTATCAGTACTTTTGATTGTTATGTGTCAAGTTAATACCTTCATAGTTTAAAACTTCATTGGAAAAGTAATTTATAAAATATCACTTCTTAAATCAGTCTCATCCTTTGAATAAAATTAATTCTTTAAGTTTGGCTGTACTATGGACTTAAAAACTAGAACAAGACTGAGACATTTAACTCCTTTCTACTTCTTAAAAACATATATCTTTATGTGACTCAGCTAATAAAAGAAATTGTTTCACATAACTGAGGAACTTGTAATCATGACTAATATAATGAATTTTGAAAGCTCAGTTTATGCTTTAATATGACAACCTTAAACAATCCTGAAAATCAAGTCTGGATTTTGTCTTATCTGTTATGACAACATAGAACTAATACCTCTCTGTGATTAATTGTGCTTCTCAACTAATTTTGAAGGGCTATGATTTAACTGTGTTAAATTTTGAATGCTTAACCTGTTTTCAGATTCAATTATCCCTGTGTTTTATAACACAAATAACTTACTGGCTAAGCATTTGTTACCATTAGTGTAAACCATTCCTAATGCAATCTTTTTCTTTAGATGTAATCTCTTCACATTTCTTTCTTTATAAAATTTTTATTTTCATAGTTTGGTATCCTTTTTCATTGATTTTCTTACTCATTTTATTTGTAAAAACGTTTGATTTTCAAATGAAATTTTACTTGGTAAAATTTCTGCAACAATCCAAAGAAAAACAATGTGATTCTAAAGCCACAGGATAGGAAAATGCCCCTCTGTAAGAGCATCTTTCCGTTTACCACATGCAGTGCACCACAGAGCAGCACAATGTGTTCAGGCATGTTTTGCTGGTCCCCACCCAGCCTAAAACCTGTCCATCTGCATGTTTTAGGGACATCTTAGACATTGAATCTATTTGAAAGATGGTCCCAGGACAGGTCTCAGACATCTTAGACATTGAATCTGTTTGAAAGTTGGTCCCAGGACAGGTCCCTTACAGTTTACATCAGGGAATGTTGTTGTCTCATCTCCTTGTGAAGCTTTTAGAGAAAACAGCTGCTCCCACTGAGACTCCCACTGTGAACTCACCATATAGCTCCTTGCCCTGTGAAAGCTCTTTTTGTTAATGTAGGAAAAGGAACAATTTATTATTAATTATAAAATATAGCCATTATTTTAATTATTTTCAAGTGAACAAGTTTAAACAAAAGTATCCCACATTTCTTGTCTTCATAAGTCTATCCCTGCTTTGATGTTTTAGACAATTATTATTGAGTTTTATCTGTTTTTGTATTTTGTGTGAAAGGAGCAGTATATTGTATATTCTTTAATGTGTAGGGTTTTTTTTTTTTTCATTTTGCTCCATCCAAGTATATAGCTTTAGTAGTGTTTTTGATACAAATACAGAAGATATCTGTTCTTTTGTTGGCGGACATTTGAACTGTTTCCATTTGGGGTGTTATAATTTGTAAACATGGCAGTGTGTGTAGTATGCTGTATATAATTCTCATTTTTTTAAGGTCTGTATGAGAGGAATTCCTAAGTAGTAGATTATGCATTCTTCAGACTCACTAGATAATGCCAATCCACTTCATGAAGTCATTACACCTAATTAGAATATATTTTTATAGTACATATTGCCAAATCTTATTTTTATCTTATATGGTGGTCATGTAGTAGATGATTAAAAAAAATTGAATTACTTAGGAGACCTGAGACCTGAACTGCCATGAATGTAAACACTGCTGTAATATTTGTGAATGATGTTTAGGAACCATAGGTTTCAAGAGCAATCTTAGAATTTAGAGAGTCTACCACATTAGACCCTCTTTTCCACCCAAGTATTGAACCATTTGAGAAAAAAACAGAAACTAAGGATTGAGAAAGGTTAAAACCTAATACCAACTTCAGAATAAAGGATTCTAGTGGGATGCTTGAGCACAGCTGCATTTTTGGAACCCCAGAAAGATGTATCAAACACTGTACCCAAATTAAACAGACTTACATAGTCAGTGACTGTCAAAGCTGGAAAAAAAACAGACCTTGCTACCAGAATGGGACCTTAGTGTAAGTTAAAGAACAGATCGGAGCATTGCCTGACAGGCAGGCTGACTCCAGAAGAGTCTGTGTTGTTCTTGCTCAGCAGGTCATCCCAAATTATCAATCTGACAAATCCCTTGAGAAAGAGGCTGGAGCTGTAGTCATTGCACATGGGAGAGTAGCCTCTAGTGTTCTTAGCACTGTCCACGTATTACAGTCACCTGGGGAACCATATACTTTAGAAACACTGATGGGCCACTGGCCAGTTCCATCATACCAGGGGAGACAGAAACATGGTGGCCATTCCATTTTTCCTGTGTTCTGGCTTACAGTTAGGTTTGAGGGCTAGATCCCCAAGTGAACCTAATTTACCACACAGTGACTGGAAATGGGAAACACCCTCATATTTCTTTTAGCTCTCACTTGGAAGTTACATCTATCCCAGGAATAGTTTAGATAGGAATGGCTTTTATGTCTTTTAGTGACATATTTAGGATAATATTTTAATCAACATACGTAGGTCTGGATTAGGTGAGTCATCTCTGTGTAATAGCTGGGGAGTTACTGCAACCTCCTCATATAAATAGGCTTTAGACTCATCTTTGGAGATTGATTCCAAAGTATAGGAGCACCTACATGCTATTTCCTGAAGAGCCCCTATGCCACAGCATGGGATTGTTCTCAAAGCAAGAAAGCCAGAGTCCTTTCCCCTCGTCAAAATGTGCTTTATTATTACCAATGCTGTGTTGCACTGGTATCTCCCAGAATTCTGCTATTCATTTCACATTTTCCTCAAATCAATCCATAATTTGCTTTTCCCCCCAAATAATTACTAAAAGAATTTTTATTATTTACTGTAGAACTGTTTCTTCATATTTTTTCATAAGATTTATTTTCAATTTTAATCTTAGTTTGTAGTTGTAGAATGTATATTTGTGATATTAATCATTGCAATACAATTTGACTATTTGGTTTGATGAAAATTTCACATTAGGGTATAAAATAAGATTAATTACTTTGTAGAAGGTTATTTGCATGTGAAATCTGCTCTTATTACATCTTAAGCAAAATTATCTTTTTCTTGTCTTTCAGAATGGACAGCAGCTATATAGGCACATATACTTAGGCTGTAAAGAGGAAGACAATGTCCAGAAAAACTATGAGCTACTTTATACTTCTCTTGCTCTTATCACTATTGAATTGGCCAATGAAGAAGTGGTTATTGATCTCATTCGATTGGCCATTGCTCTACAGGTGTGCTTTGTTAATCTTTTACTGGAGAGATCTTTTTAAATGAAGCCAATGTTATCTCTAAAGAGTTGTTGCCTTTTTTATTCGAGAACATTAATTTTGATAGAGTAATGTTTTGTTGTAAATTTTAAGTTCTCAAGATTATGATTACATTCATTTGTTCTTTTAATAAATGAATATTGACTGCTAAATATCGAGGCCTTGAATACTGTGATGAAACAGGTAAACACAGCCTTTTACCCATACTTTCAATTTAAAAGAGAAAATAGTCATTAAATTATAATTATATACAACATTGTTTAATTGGAATGTGTACTGTGTAATAAAAGGACAGTATGCAATGTTGTACGCTTGGGCACTCTGTGTGTGTGTGTGTGTGTGTGTGTGTGTGTGTGTGTGTATTTATATGTGTGTATAAATAGGAAAGGTTTTCCTAAGGAAAAACATTTAATAAATTGAAAATTTTAACTCTGCTATAGATAGGCATTTGTTCTCCTTTCAGAATTCTTTTTAAAAATAAATTCTAAAAAGTTGACTTTTTTTATCATTTCAAACTGCTTGCACTATTCCAGTATAATTATAGAGAAAATGTTGATGGAGTTCTTAACCTGTCAGATGTATTTGTTTTTTATTAAAAGGATAGTGCAATTATCAACGAAGATAATTTGCCAATGTTTCATCGTTGCGGGATCATGGCACTGGTTGCAGCATATCTCAACTTTGTAAGTCAGATGATAGCTGTTCCTGCATTTTGCCAGCATGTTAGCAAGGTAAGGTAAATGATAAACTTGAGGTTGAACACAAATGATTTATTTTATTTTAAGTGATAATTATTTTTAACTTTGATGATTATATATCAAATTATTACGATAATCCTGTAAATCAAAACTGAAACTAACACTGCAGCTATTGTTTTATTAGAATTTTTTTAATGTGGTTGAATAGAATACATGCTTTTCTTCTGTGGTATCTTATTCTGTACTTTTTTTTTCTTTGAGCCATTATGAATCTTTATCTAAATGTTCTTAAGTTATAATATTTTTTATTTTATTGCTATTATTATTTTATACCGGACAAATTCCAAAAGTTGAATGATTAATGTACCTCTTTGAATATTGTTGTCTTTCAAGTATGCTTAGCTTTTTTCAGCAATAACTTTATTTTTCTCAGCAAAAACTCCTGAGTAACTCATATGAATTAATATATATCTCAGAGCCTGTGACTTACCTGAGAAAGACCACTTGTAAAGACATTTGTCAGAGAGAACCTCATTTTTATGAAATTGGAAGCATGTCTTTCAATCCTTATTATAATATAGGTTTTTAATGCATTCCAAGAAAACTCAATCTTATGTTAAAAAAACATGTGACTGTTGAATGCCCACCTTTGGAGATATTATGAAAGCACAAATAATATTTCACAAATATTATGAAAGCAGAGGACTCCCTTTAAGTTGCTCTCAGATCCTTTGAGGAGCAAGACCTCACACGTGCTTTGAGATCTCATGACAGGCTGCAAGAAGTGCACAGAAGGTAGAAGATGGTGGTTCATAAAGGGTTTACCAAATGAGTCATTTTAAGGTAGCTTTAAGGAAGTATAATGTATCATTATTTTTTTTTACTTCATTTAATATTTTCATAAGTTTATTTGCTGAATTTTTAAATAATAAATGTGTAAACAAGATGAATTATATATCTGGACTCTAAACCTAGCTTGAATTCAAAATAAAGTGATATTTTACATAAATGTTTAAAGGTTTTATTTTGAGTTTTTTAGTTGTTTTTCAGATTGTCCTAGCCAAGGTCCTAAAACCTTGAGTTTTGTTTTGTTTTGTTTTTGGATATTTTTCAGGTTATTGAAATTCGAACTATGGAAGCCCCTTATTTTCTACCAGAGCATATTTTCAGAGATAAGTGCCTGTACGTTCATTCAGTATATTTTATGGAAAGGCTTATTAGAAAAAAACAATCAGTGATTATAAGGGAGTAAATTAATGTCATAAAAATTTTCTAGTGTTTCACAATCATCACTTTGGGTTTCCATCATTTAATTCATCTGACTTCTTCCCTTGTTGTAGAATTTTTGCATTTTGTAAATGTAGACTCATGCATGCATGGAGCCAAGCTTGAAAAAAATGAAGAAAAAATGATCTGTCTTGCTCTTTAAAATGTGGGGATCTCTCTCTTAACTACAGCATTTTTAGATGCTTTCATACATAATGAGCATTCTATTAAGAGATTATGATATCTTGACTTTCAGTGATAGATAAGTATACTCATAAACTTGTGGGGCAGAGGCTATTAAGGAAATGTTATACCCTTTATTCTTCCTTGCTCTCCAGAGGAAAAAAAAATGTATGAATAATAATAATACACTTATATCCGATTCAAGATCTTGGGCTCTGAGAGCATGTTGTATCAAAAACATCAGCCTGTGATACTACTGGCCCTGTGAAAGGAAAACCAGACCTCAAGTGGTTGTGCAGGTGTTTTTGTCTCTTAGCTGGCTGGGGATTCTCATTAGTGATCAGTGAGATGCATTTTTAGTTTTCCTCTCAGCAGATTTTTAATTAGCACGAAAGTCAAAACTGAATTTAATGTTCTTTATTACTTAGTGTTTGGATATCAGCCCAGTAACATAAGGTTGAATTCACTATTGGAGCATTACTGGGAGAAGAATACTAACAGTGTGGCTAGGATGGGACCACATGCCAAGTGATTTTAGAGAGTGCAGATTAATGACCTATAGCATATTGATGTTTCTGTTATTAATTGTAGGTTAATTTATGTTTATCTTAGAATAATGAGGCTTTTGCTTTGCAGTATTTTGTTTATTTACTTACCTTTGCTCAGAATTAAGTAATACTGATTAATTATTGTTTTTATTAACCTGAACAGACTTCCAAAATCTTTAGAGAAGCATGACAAAAATCTGTACTTTCTGACCAATAAGATTGCAGAGTCACTGGGTGGAAGTGGATATAGTGTTGAGAGGTTGTCAGTACCATATGTACCCCAAGTAACAGGTAAGAGGATGAAAACTACAGCTCTTTTAGTGATTATGTTTCAATTTTTTCATTATACAATTAGAAAGGAAAAGTAATTCTTGGTATGTACACCCACTATGTAGCCCAGATTTTTTCAACTGTTTTACTTTTGAAAACCTTTGGTAAATCTCTACAGATGTAGATATGATTTTAAGCAAATCAAGTGCTTAATGATTTATTTTTCTTGAAATTACATTCATGGATTATTATGTCTAATGTTATCCTTTAAAACAGAAAAGCAAAATGAAATCTTTTCTTCATTAAACATAATTATATCTAACACAGAAATTACTTTAGTGATTTGTAGGAATTGTTTAATTAAGTGATTTGTGATTATTGAGCTTAATGAATTAGGAAATGTTTGTTCTTTGAAAAAGTATAGACTCCTATGTAAAGAAATGTACAAACTTTTTACATTTCTTCTGTCTGTACACTTCCTTCTGTTCTTTCCTTCACCTGAAATAATGCAATTGTGATTGAAGACAAAACTAAATGGTGTCTTGATTTCAAGTTTTTCTTTAAAAAATAAATCAGAGTTTCTTATACTCTAATGATTATATGAATGTTAAATTTTGTGGAAGAACTAGTTTATCCTTTGGGAATAACTTTGTTCTATAAGAGAACTATTTGATTTCAGTTAGATAATTTTTTAGATTAATTACTAAAAGTAGTATAGTCTTTGTAAATGCTGGTCTTTTCCATAACATGGGTCCAAAATATACACATTTCTTACAGTGATAGTTTATAGTAGTTGGAAGTGTTAATGCTTTTGCATTTTCTTTTAAAATTTGTAGTATAAAAGATTGTTTCTCATAAATTCCATGGGGGGAATAAAAATGCTAAGAATGAGACATTAATAGAGCTTTGTAATTTAAAGTAATTTTTTAAAAGATATTTAAAATATTACATTTTTATAATTTTGAATTTAGCTCTCTTTCCTTCAAGCAAAAAACCTCATAAACCCAGGCACAAATACAAAGGTAAATGCAACTGACAAGTGTAGTGTGCCTTTCCCCACCTATGCCTAGGAGCATAGCTTAGTCACATGGGCCTTTTAGAGATGGAGCCAGTAGCCTATGTGTTTCATATAGATGTAGTGGGGATATATATGTGTTTCATTTAGTTATGACTTTGCTCTTTTTCCTTATAGCCATAGTTTTTCATTTTTCTGCTATTTATTTTTTTATTATTACTTTTTATTCTAATTTGTTATATATGACAGAATGCATTACAATTCCTATTATACATATGGAGCATAATTTTTCATATTTCTGGTTGTACCCAAATTAGAGTCACAGTATTTGTGTCTTTATACATGTATTTAAGGTAATGATGTCCATCTCATTCCACCATCTTTCCTACTCCCATGCCCACCCCCTTCCCCTCCCTCCCCTTTGCTCTATGTAGAGTTCGTCTAATTCTCCCATACTTCCTCCCAACCCCTTTATCTTTGTCTTTTACTCTCTACCACTGGTCTATGTGTCTATTTTTATGCCAATACCATGCAGTTTTTGTCATTTTTATTTTGATGGAGATTATGTTGAATCTCTGTAATGTTTTTGGACATGTGGCCATTTTAACAATATTAATTCTGCCTATCCATGAACATGGGAGTGCTTTCCATCTTCTGAGGTCCTTTTCAATTTCTTTCTCCAGCGTTCTGTAGTTTTCATTGTAGAGGTGTTTCACCTTCTTGGTTATATTTATTCCTAGATATTAATTTACTTATTTATTGAGGCTATTTTGAATGGAATTGTTTTCCTGATTTCTTTCTAAGAGAGGATTTTATATGCCCCCACCATAAAGAATTGATAAATACTTGAGGTGATGGATATGCTGATGACTCTGACTTGATTATTTCACATATGTATACACATATTAAAATATTGCATTGTACCCCATAAGTATGTTTAATTATTTGTTAATTAAAATAACACTTTCCTTTAAAAAAAAGACTGAAAAAAACACTGCTCTATTTAGAAAGAACAAAAACCTCATAATTTTCTGAATTTTAAAAATCTGAAATAAGCAGTGTTTACAAATAAAAAATCAGTGTAACATTTATAAATAACAAATAATGAGATGAAACAACTTTTATTTTAGATGAAGATCGTCTTTCTAGAAGAAAAAGTATTGTGGACACTGTGTCTATTCAGGTGGATATTTTACCCAACACCATTCCTTCTGATGATGTGGTAAGTGACTGCTAGTTCATGGAATACTGTGTTGTGACAGATATCAGTTAAAAGAAATTTTCACCCTCCATACTTTTAATACAGGAGAAACTATAACTGTATCCCCAGATCAACTGAATTGTTACTAGAAATTAATCTGATTTAGTTTATTTTTTTATAATTTCTATTACGGAACCCATTGCAGCTATCTAAAAGATATATAAACTTAATATTGTACATTTATATACTAGATTTTACATTGTAATTCAGTGTAATAAAAGGGACTATAAAGCACAACTAAATTTTTTTTTGGAAATAAATGCTAGATAAGGCCTGTTGTTAAATTAGCAGAATCTCTTAGTTCCTGTTTATTTTTTAAAAATTCATCAAATATTAATTACAGAAACAAATAGAATTATGCACTTTTAAGTGAAGTCACATGCTCACTACATTTAGAAAGTGTCATAACTTCACTTGTGAAGGAAAATTGTTGTATTATTATGAATAGCATATATGATGTGTGTAGCTTAAGCTGAATCAATAAACTGTACTCTTTAAGAACTGTGGCTGCTCTCCTCCTGTTTCAGTAGAGCATAAGAATGTGTCCTCCTGAGTTATAGAAAGGAGAAGCAGTCAATGTTCTCTAACACTTATGTTACACAAATCATCAGAGTATGCTTTGATAGGCCAGTAAAAGTACTGAAATGCCAACCTGTCATAGTGTATCTATTGTTTCCCTTCCTAGGGTATTTATTATTTTTCATTGGCACAATAAAAATAATTAAAGATATCTCCATATAAGAAAAGAGAAAGAAAGAAGTTGTCTGAATTAGTGCTTTCTCATTCTCCTTTCTCCCCTGTTTCCTGTCAGTTAATTCGTTTTCAGAAATTAAAATTATTTAGTGATCAGAGAATAGTAAACTAACTTGTATGTTCTATGTTCTGCTCAGTTACACAAAATTCATCAGCTATATTAAGAAATTATTAGTAGAGCATCAAAAGTAGTTGAACAGGCAGTTCTTATACATTTTGTGAAGCCACATATTCACTACGTTTATAAAGTGTCAAAACTTCATCTATGAGGGAAATTAAAGGCATTAAGGCATTAAGATTGGTTTAAAGTTGCCTCTTCAAAGTCATTTTAATTTTATACATTCCTAGGAAGGAGAGTTCTTTTAATTATAAATTTGCTAGTTCTTTTAATTATAAATTTGCTGGTATTACCTTTGTTAGGGAAGAATTCATTCAAAGCCTTAGTTTATAGACTTAATTTTTCAAGGGGTGCAGCATATATTATTCTATTCTCCTTTTTAAAAAATTTTTTAAATTTTATTTTTTTTTAAATTGTGCATGACAGTAGAGTCCATTTTGATATGATTGTATAAGCATGGAATATATATACTAATTAGGACCCTGTCTTGTGGATGTACACGATGGCAAGATTCACTGTGTACATGAATATATTCATAAATGTACAGAGGAAGGCTTTCCTTTCTCTTTTTGTTAACTAATTTTTAAATTTTCATACAAAAATATGTATATAGCACTTGAAACTTGACAAGCGTCCATTTGTTTTGATAAAATGAATTGGAAACACATTTGCACAAATGTAATATAGGAGGAATATATTACATTTTACATTAAGTGCCCACGAATACGTTTATTAACTTTTCAAAAACTGTTTTGCTAAGTCCTAAGTGTGAGACATATTTGTTTAGCATTGAGTATCTAGAAAGTACAATTTAGTATCACATTTATTTGAGGACATTTGAGTTTAAAACTCATTATTAACAATTGTGGAATCTGCTTTTATATATTAGAAAAGGTTGTTCAGATACCAAAAGAGAATAAAATTACCTCCTAGGCAAAATTTAATTAATTAATTTCATAGAAGACCAGAGAAATTTATAAAAGCTATTTACCAGTTACTGTTGAATACTTGCTCAAACTTTAAAATAATCTTTATAAACTAAAAAAAAAAAAAAAAACCAGTGTAACAAGAATGCTAGCATTCTCATTTCTACTGTACTTTAGTTGTTTCTTAAAAGTCTCCTGTTTTTGGCACTTAGCCACGTCTAAAACCAACAGAGAGTCATTTTTTTTATTAAAGTACTAGATTACTTTTGGTACAGGTAATTAATCAGCCAGAGCCTAATCTTGTATGTCTGCTCCAAATATCTAGAACAAAGCAACTGAAGATTCCCAAGTTTAATCTGACTTCAACTAGAAATGTGAACCCTCAGTAGGAAAGCTGAGGTAGTGGATCTCTTGCTGCTTGGTTTCCAGCTAAAGCCTTTGTATTACAGAGAAGCTAAGGTAGAGAGCGGGAAGTCTTTTGCTTTCATTAGTCTTGCTGCCTTAGACTTAGCAAAAGAAGCTCATGAGCTAAAATTAGGGATGATCAAAGTCCAGGCAAGTACTCACATATCATTTTTTCATTGTTATTCAGAGATACTGTAGTAACTGGATGTATTATTATGCCTTCTGAAAACGTGCTGGTGCCATAAAAAGTGTTCTGAACTTTTTTTAAAAAAATCATAAAATGTTTGATTTCATATCTTTTACATAATTCAAAGTAAAAGATATTTGAGAGCTCCAGTTGAAGGACACTTGCAGAAAATAGAAATTTGTTGATTGACCTCACAAGATCCAGAATATGCTTAAGATATTGATTTTGTTCATTGAACTGAACACTTGCCAAAATAGTGATTATTACTTTTAAACAGTTTGAAATCTTAGATTATTTCATTTTTGAGTTGTAAATAACATATAACACCAAAAATTTAGAGGCTGTAGAATATTAGTTCTTATTTACCATACAGCTAAAACTTTTCATAAACTGGACATGGGTAATCCCAGTGGCTCAGGAGGCAGAGGCAGGATCACCAATTCAAAGCCAGCCTCAGCAATTTAGCAAGGCTCTGTCTCTAAATAAAATATAAAAATGGGCTGGGGATGTGGCTCAGTAGTTAAGTTCCACTGATTTCAATCCCTGGTATCAAAAGTAAATAAATAAACAAACAAATAAATAAAGATGTATGTCCATATAATCTCAGCCTGTTTCAAATCATTGATCATACATATATCACTCAAAGTTGGGTCAGGGGGATATCTATAGTGGAGACTATTCTGTAATACAGAATAGCTGAGTTGCTGCTGCTGCCCTATTTCTGCTAGTCTCATGCTAATCTGTAGGCTTGTTTTGGGGAAACCCTGCAGTAGGCCAGTGTTACACTTAGTGAAAAAGTGGAGACTACTTGATATCTAGAGCGTAAGTCACGAATGAAGCCAACATAGAGAAGAAGAAATTGTTGTGAAAGCTCCTAGATGACTCATAACTAGGTGAAGGTGTTATTTATATTGACTTTTCTTAACTCTTGTTTTACTTGAATCACTTTTCTTTAGGTTAGTAACACTGAAGAAATTACCTTTGAAACATTGAAGAAAGCAATTGGTGAGATATCCTGCACTAGTTAACTCTCTAATACCTAACTCTTCTTTTTTTTTAATGTTGCATGCTTTTTATTATCAATTTACAGATCCAAAGACCACAAACTTTCTTTTAATATTCAGTGTTCAACTCTTTTAACCATGTGCAAAGGGGGCACATGGCATGATACCTGGCTATACTTTTTTCTTTTTTTTTAGTTAATTTTTTTATTTATATGTGACAGTGGAATGCATTACCATTCTTATTACATGTATAGAGCACAATTTTTCATATCTCTGGTTGTATACAAAGTATATTCACACCAAATCATGTCTCTATACATGTACTTTGGATAATAATGTCCATCACATTCCATCATCATTTCTAACCGCATATCCCCTCCCTTCCCCTACTACCCCTCTGCCCTATCTAGAGTTCGTCTATTCCTCCCACTTTCCCCCTCCCTACCCCACTATGAATCTGCCTCCTTATATCAGAGAAAACATTCAGCATTTGTTTTTTGGGGATTGGCTAACTTCACTTAGCATTATCTTCTCTAACTCCATCCACCTACCTGCAAATGCTATGGTTCTATTCTCTTTTATTGCTGAGTAATATTCATTGTGTATATATGCCACATTTTTTATTCACTCATCTATTGAAGGGCATCTAAGTTACTTCCACAGTTTAGCTATTGTGAATTGTGCTGCTATAGACATTGAAGTGGCTGTATCTGTGTAGTATGCTGTTTTTAAGTCCTTTGGGTATAGACAGAGGAGAGGGATAGCTGGGTCAAATGGTGGTTCCATTCCCAATTTTCCAAGAAATCTCCATATTGCTTTCCATATTGGCTGCCCCATTTTGCAGCCCCACCAGCAGTATATGAGTATACCTTTTTCCCCACATCCTCACCAATACTCACTATTGTTTGTATTGATAATGGCTGCCATTCTGACTGGAGTGAAATGGTATCTTGATAAGTTTTTTGATTTTTATTTCTCTAATTGCTAGCAATGATGAACATTTTTTTTCAAATATTTGTTGATTGATTAAATGTCCTCTTCTGAGAAGTATCTGTTCAGGTCCTTGGCCCATTTATTGATTGAGTTATTTGTATTTTTGGTACTTAGAGCACTAATCTCTAGGGTATCTCTCTCAAAAAGCTAAGTACCCTAGAGATTAGTGCTCTGTCTGATGTGCATGTTTATGTTGGTGTTTTTTTAGATGATAAAATAACTAAAGGCAATATGGTAAAAAAACAAACAAAAAAAACCTTGTTTTTTTAAATAAATAAATTATGAATATGAACTCATTCTTTAAGCTTTTAAAATTGTCGCACCATATCTGTGTTCTTTAGCAGGCAAACACTGTTATATCAGTAATATCAAAAAGATGCATTTGTTATTTTACTTTTTCACAAACTTGAGTGAGATCATACATCAGCTTAATATAAAAACTCCTTCCCAAGTTGTGGTCAGGTTCAGTGTGATTCTGCGTGACCCAGTCTGTATTTCTGTTACTTCACTCAGCGTCAAGAATCAGTCAAGCAAATATTTAGTGCTTCATATATCCAAGGACATAGTTATAAATAAAGGAGTCATTCTTCAGGAAAGCTCTTGATGATGTTTGACCTGTAGAAAGTTACCATTCTCTCTCTCTTTTTTTATGTTTTTGATAAGAGAGACAGACAGGTATTCAATGAAAGATTTTCTGCTATGAGCTTTAATTCTGTTCAGTTTTTTAATGTGTGTGTATTATTTCACCTTTAATGAGACATTTTAAGAATGTTATGCCTTTTGCTTTTTTTCCTTATGGAATAGTTCTTTAAATCGTCTTTATTTTTGGTTGATAGATCATTAGCTTTTTTGATCATTGGCAGGATTTTATGAAACTATTCCTTTAATGGATCCTTATGTAAACTTACACAGATACCAATGGAATGGAAGAACAGGAAAAGGAAAAGAGACGTCTTGTGATAGAGAAATTCCAGAAAGCACCTTTTGAAGAAATCGCAGCACAGTGTGAATCCAAAGTAAGTGAATAGATGGTAAAAGTGGTTTTGTAGAAACTTTGGTAATTGGTTGGTACGTTCCAAACTTTAGGCAAATCAGAGAACACAGGGATAGGTACTAGACAGGGACAAAATCTCTGAGGAATTAGCTGTAAAGCCTGAATTATTTCTTAATGGGATATATGCTGATAGAAATGGCAGATCCCGCTGGATGTCAGTGAATATTGTTGCTTTGATGCTTTTTCCATAGTGGTTTCTGGTGATTTTGCCAAGAACAATAAGAGAAAATAAATTCTAATAAATGAGACAAATCAAAACATTAAAAACAAGTTTTACTTCCGGATATAGTTGTGCATGCCTGTAATCCCAGCAGCTCAAGAATAAAATATTTTAAATATTTTCTTTTTTTAAAAAAAGGCTTGAGTTGTGGCCCAGGGATTGAGTGCCCCTGGGTTCAATCCCTGGTACCAAAAAACACAAACAAAAAACCCCACATTCTGTACTATCTAACAGTTACAGCTGTGATTGTTCATTAAATTACATTTATATTATTGGGTATTTGGAAAATTATAAATCCTTTCATAACATTTTTTTCTTCTTTTCAGGCAAATTTGCTTCATGATAGACTTGCTCAAATACTGGAACTCACCATACGGTAAGGGTTTTGTTGCAGCAACAGCAGTAACAACAATAGAAACTACTAGACTCCTATAAATTTGTGCTTGATTATGTTTAAGTAATTATCCTTTTCATTGAGGGAGCATGAGATCATAAAGGTGACCCTTTGAGTGGTCATTCTGGTTACCAGAGAGAATCTTATATCATTTTTTTGTAGTTGTCTTTTAGCATTTCTGGCTTCCTCTTTTAGATTATTTATTCCTTCATAATGGTCCTATAAAGATATCTGAATAGTCTGGAAGACCCACATTCTAATGTTGTGTTTAACTAGGAAATTGCTGATATTTAACTATTTTAACTTACAGAAACTGAAGTTTAACATAGTTCTGCCTCATAGTGTTTTCCAGGACAATAATGTTTTTCTACCTGTGCATGTGGCTCTTTTGAATTATTGAATTTCCTTGAGCTTTCCTATACCATGTTCATTGGAGTCCTGTTAGGAGTTGTTATATGCCAAAACATGGTGTCTGTGATAACTGGGTCATTCTTTGTCTATACATTATTAAGTAATGCAGCACAGGAAGAGGGGAAAGCAAGCTGTAAGTTCCCTGCAAAAAAATAGAACTTCACGTGGTCTTACGTTGACTTCACTGTGGAAATCAGCCTAGTAAAGAAGTTATACATAGCTATGCTTATGGATTTTTTTTCTCCATCAGTTGTATTTTTTATAGTTTTAACACCTATATCATATAAATGGAAGAGACTGGTAAATGCTCTAGTCTGTTTGATTTTTTTTTTTTTAATTTCAGTATGTTTTCTGCTTTTATAAGCAAGTTTACGGTAGTCTCACATCTTATTCTAAACACTTCCCCACCATGCCTACTGCTTTTATTAAGTAAAGAATCGCCCATTTACAAAATTTCAGGACAGATAATTGAATTGAAATATGCAAAGTGTTGTGAATGTAGTTTTCAGAGAAAATTGCTGAGTAAGGGCATTTACTTCTTTGCTTTCCATTAACTGTAATACCAAACATCCACTGTGTACTTTATCTTATACTGCAGATTTCTTATTGTTATTTTTGCTACTACTTGCCACAACCCTGAAAGGTAGGTAGAGAATGTCTTTTCCATTTTCAGGTGAAATTACTAAGGCTTAGGGAAGGAAAGTAACTTGCTGAAGGTCATGTAGCTAGTGAGTGGCATAGTCAAAATTTAGATCCATAACTCATGTTCTTAAGAGAAAATTTGCTAGGTATCACTGTTAAATTTAGTCACACCAACATAATTATATGAATTAAATAGTTTAGAATAACGTGTTATGACTATTTCCATTTTGTTGGTACTGCTGCTTCTCACATTTATTGAGCACTTACCACTAATAGTTAACATTTATCAAGCATGGTGCTCTAGACACTATGGTAAGTGCATTGGTTCATTTAGTTTTTACAGTATGCCTAAAAAATAAGTCATGATTTTCCTCATTTTAAAGTGTACAGACAGGCACATGGAAGTTAGGTGACTTATCCAAGGTCACTTAGCCGGCAAGTAGCAGTTCTGGGATGGCCTGCATGACACAGAACTAAAGTCTAGCTATGAAGTCCACCTTCACAATCTTCAACTTGCCAGTACCTTTTCTCATGTTCATTTCCCTTGCCCATAGCAGCCAGAGGAAAGAGTTTGTGCTCTCCAGAAAAGAGACCAAACAAAGAGTCTTATAATTCAGTCCCCCTTCTTTTATTCACTGTGACCTGGGCACGGGAAAAAAAAAATTGATGTGACAAAAAATTAGTTTCCTCATAAGAGAAAAAGATATCTGAGTAGGAATACAGGCAATAGATGCAAGTAGATGGTTTACATATTCAAAAAAATTATAAGGAGTTCAGAGAAGCAGTCATATAAATACACTGAGAGGAAGCAACATCAGATTATCCATTTATTGGAATTAATAGACAAGGTACTTAAAGCTGCACACACCCACACATCCATTGGAGTTTAAAGAAAAGCTACCTATATTTTAGTAAATAAATGTGAATGGAACTGCTTGTTCTCACTTGTTCCTGTTTTGCTGTATTATTATAATTGCAGATTCTAACGTTGTTCTCATAAGAGTATTAAAGCATAACAATGAGAAAAAAATTCAGAAATTTGAATATTATCATCTTAAGTGTCCTTTTAAAGAGATTTGAATATTATCATCTTAAGTGTCCTTTTAAAGAGCACACAAAAAAGTTGACTTCTCTCTGCACACACAGAGAGAATGTTGAGGTTACCTTGTTTGGACAACTGCTAAAGATTGTTCATCAGTGAAGGAGGATTCCTACATCATTTCTTTTTCCCAAAATAGAAAAATAACTCTTTGTTTAGAAAAACATATAGAAACACTAGAATTTATACCAGATATTTTTTTCATAATCTTTGTTGGAGGTGTTAACATAACTCAAAAACTAAAAGTTAAAAGAAAATTGAATTTTTTTGTGTAAGATTCTTAAACATTTAGCCAAAAAAGAAATTGATAATTAAATAGTGAATTGGAGAAAAGCATTTGTATCATATGACAAAATATTAGTTTCCTAAATTTATAAGAGAAAAATATCTGAGTAGGAATACAGGCAGTGGACACAAAAAGTGTACATATTTAAAAAAACAAAATGAATACTATAAAGATGTTTGTCAGTACTAGTAGTGTAACTTAAAAGTTGAAAATAAAAATAGGAATGAATTCCGTTTTGCCTGCTAGGTTGGCAAGGATTTAAAAAAAAAAAAGTATCCAAGTTTATAACAGTATAACAGAGGACAGGTACGTTATTAGTCAGCTTTTCCCAACTGTAAAAAAAAAATACCTAAGAAAGCAACTTTATAGAGGAAAGATTAATTTTGGCTCATTTTTTTTCCTGAGATTTAAGTCCATGCTTGCCTGGCTCCATTGTTTCTGGGCCTGTGGTGAAGAGAACATCAGGTTGAAGAGTACAGTAGAGCAAAGCTGCTAACTTCAAGGAAAGTTGTAAACAGAGAGAGAAAAAGGGGTCAGGGAAGAGAAATACACCTCCAGTGATCTGCCTCTAAGAGGCCACACTTCCTGAAGTTTCCTCCACTTATTTACAGGGACATCATCAACTATAAACCCATGAGGTCAGAGCCCTCATGATCCTATCACTTTCACAGAGTGAAATATTGAATATTGGCTGCAGTGGAGGCTCAGACTTCCACACAGGAGCCTTTGGAAGACATGCCAGATCAAACCATAACATACTTAAAGTGCTGAAAGTATACATTGCCAGTATCTTAAAATATATGCCAAAGTCAAAATTGTGAATCCCCTTTGACTCAGAAGTTTTACTTTTAAATCTATTGGCCAAGGACTCAGGCAGGATAAGTTTGTATGCATAAGAATAAACTTATAAACATTCATAATAATGAAAATAAGCCTGTGTTTTTCAGTAGATTTTTTTAAAAAATGATTATCCATATGGTAAAATATACTGTCATCAAAAGGCCAGCATTTATACAGGAAAGAGTATTTGCTTGTGAAACAGAGTATCTCATAAGAAAGTAGAGAGTGTAATCCTGCTGTAACAATTATATTGTGTGTGTATGTGTGTGTGTGTGTGTGTGTGTATACACACACACACATACACACACATTATATAAATATATGTACATACACATAGGTATGTTTTTTCCAAAGGAAAATGTCTAGTTTAGACTTAAAACTGAACACCTCAGTTGTTGAAACCCATACAGCTTTACAGCTGGCCAGCACCTACATCTTGTTGATCTCTCCAGTTAAGAAGTCTTACTTTATGGTTTGCAGATAGTAGATTGAGTACTCTATGAAATGAGCAGCTTCTAAATATGCCTGTTGACAGTGTCATGTTTTTCTTTTATAGTCCTCCTCCCAGTCCATCAGGAACACTGACCATTACTTCTGGACATGCCCAATACCAATCTGTCCCGGTCTATGAGATGAAGTTTCCAGATTTGTGTGTATACTGAGTGGCTCACAAAGATCTCAGCATAGGATTTTAAAGCCTAAAAATCAAAGCCAAGCTGAGTTTTCAGAATTTACTTAATGCATATTGACATACTTCTTGAAAATAATGAGGGAACTTATCTTTATAACAAAATGCTTGGCATATCATATTAGAAGTTTGGGAACTATATGATTTATAGTACTTTTAAAGATAAATTCATGCCATGTTATTTTGTTTTGAGATTTCTGTTGGCTTGTAAATTTGAACATGTGTTTGTCTCACATTATTCCATTGTTAAAACAGTATATTTTAAACCTTTCAAAACATGTAATTTTTTTAAAAAAGGATTAAAAATGTATGAAATGTTTACTGTATTTCTTAAATGTCTACACAACTTCTCAGAAATAGAATTGCTTTTATTTTTGATTATCTGCAAAAGTAAAAATATTCCTAATCCTGGGGTTGCAAAACTGTCATATGGCTTTCCATCCCCATGCTTAAGATATGTTTTGATAAGCCTCCCTCCAGTCCTCTACTGTAATAATGTGCACTAGATATTCTTCAGTGTGTTCACAATGAAAAGACATCTGTTAATAGTATTCCTAGATTATGACCCTGAGTCGCCATACTTTACAATGTCTGTTCTTGAAATACTGTGTTTTCTGCCAAGAATGTGACCCCTTGAAAGGCTTAGAGCTTACTCTTGCAGTACCGAATTGTGCAATATTTTTTACATCATAAGATGTATTAGTTTACAGGCTGTGCTTTGAAATTATAGTAGTATTTTGCTGTGGCTACATTAATTAAATAAAATATATATTTAGTATAGAAAAGACAGACATTTAAAACAGCTACTAGTTCACCTGTGAGGAGTCTGTACATTTCAATTTCTATTAAGAGCACATTAATTTAGATTTTATATGGTGCATTGTTTTAAATCTTCATAGTCAAAAAATTCTTCAGATGGACTAAATTAATTTGTAAGAGTTGTACCAAAACTTGTGTGTATCTCTGTTTAGGATTAGTTACGTTACATTCAAAAAGAGTGTCTGTTTTAATAATCAAGTGTGCTAAGGTTTGTCAATGAAAGCTGCTTTTGATTTCAGCTGCCCAGGTCATAGGGACACTCTGCCTTGTGGATTTTAGTGGATTCTATCACATGATAAAAATGAACAACTTTCTTTGTAATTCTTAGAAAATTCTTTTAGGGCATTTCTATAAAATCACCAACTTTATAGTTCTGCCTTTTCAGATTCAGTTTCTTTTTACATAAAATAATATACATATCAAAGATTGTAGCTCAAAAACAATTCAGGTTTGACTTTTGTTTGAAAAGTTACAGTGAAGGATTGGATGTTTTGACTTGTGTTTATGGTTATTAGGGCACCTTTCATAGAAACAGAAAAAGTTTAGGAAACTTTTTACTGAACTTGCACATTTAGTAAACCAAAGTGCACCATCTTGAAAAAAAATTGTAATCATATGTACTTAGACATCCTGGGCTATTGATTAATGTAGATAAACTAGACCTTGTTTTCAACAGTACATCACCCCTGGAGGACCACATGGCCCTGTTGCAGTTGTCACTGTAGCTTTCCCTCTTACAAGGTAAAATGTGTCACTAGATAGAATGCCAAGTGTTGTGTTTTTTATTTTCCTTTTTTCTTCTTTTTAAAGAAATATATTAATTTTTGACTGTGCATATAAAATCTAAGCAGGAGGACATGCAAAAACAATCATCATCCACTTGGATGTCATTTTATAAATTTAACACTGTGTGCTTTTGTATGGAAAATATATACAGTTTAATAGCTAAGAAAAGATATATTCATTTCCACTCATGCAAAATTCAAACTTTGCTCTACAAAATTTGTTATTTCTCAGTGATTTAAAAATGCATGAATGCATGTAAAGGAAAAACCATTGCAATTAATCTTTATCATACCTTTCTCTTCGTCTTTGTAAGCTGTTGACTTGGGTTTTGTGAGGAGATTTTTGTTTTTATTATTTTAAGTCACAGTAGACTTCTGTATATCCTAGTTTCAATAGACTGAAACTGATCTTGTTGACAGGGATTTTCAAGAAATGGATCTTTCCTCTGGCTGAGCCTTCCATGTCTGGAGGGGTTTCTGCAGGGACAAGGTGTGCATACTCTTTTGGAACCCATTCAGATACAGAAATGTGAGGATTTGTTGAAGGTCATTGAATTGCTATATTTTTGCTAGATGTGTAAAACTCAATAAATTATTAATCATTCTCTTTCGCTGTATACAGTTGTTAATATCATTCTTTTGTGTGGCATTGACAGTTAACATTTAAGTGTCCCTCATTTACTTGTGTTGTCTGTGGCCGCTTACATAGAATTTGCTTAGAATTTACCTGAAAACACACACATGATACTTCTGAACTCATTGTCTTTTAGAGTAATATCACACTTTACCAGCAATTAACTTCTTACTCCTCAAAATGTTTCCTTCTGTCTGAAAATAGAAGTTATTTGTCGTATTCATGCTGATATGTGCTAAATGTAATGAAGTTTTTTTAAATGTAAAAATTTACTGTGCAATCATATGTGAGCAATAAAACCAAATTGAACTACTTGTGTATAAGTACATTTTTATAGTAGCTATTACTTTTTTTAATGCCTTTATTTTATTTATTTATTTATTTTTATGTGGTGCTGAGGATTGAACCCAGGGTCTCACAAGTGTTAGGCCAGTGCTCTATTGCTGAACCACAACCCCAGCCCAGTAGCTATTACTTTTGCCAGATTAAATTTATTCAGTATTTGCTTCATTTAAACTTGAGGGCTTTAGTAAAATCAAGTTGCTTAGTGGGTCCTTCTCACCTACACTGGAGGCATGGAACCCCATCTGCTGGTCTTCTGGGAGATCTGAGGAGAGGCCCTCAGCCTGCGCTCGCACAGTTGCCTTCTCAGTGTTGATCCTAATGGTTTTCTCTTTAGCCCTAGCTCCTTGCTCTCTAAACAACACCAATAGCAGTAGCAGCTCACCTCTGGTACCTGGTTCACCCTGTGTGGCCTGTTCTGCCACTCAGGTAGCTATGCATCATGGTGTGCTACCAGTCAGGGGCGACCTGTTAGCATACTGTAGCATGCTGGTAAGGAGCATGGGCTCTGGTTCAAATCCAGCACGTACTGGCTGAGGGACCTTATGTGAATAATTGAACCCTGATTTTAAAATGAGGACCATAGGTTGTGCCTTCAGATCAGCTGTCAGGAATAAGGACCAATAATAGGAGGTCCCCTGTACCATTATACAGTGCAGAGTTTACTAATAATTGTCCTTGAGGTCACTCTGCTGAGGTATAAGGGACCTGGGTTGCTGTGTCAGCTCTAGTCTTGGGATAAGCATCCCACATGTCTGAGCCTTTGTTGACATAGGTGTAAAATGCCATCACCTGTGCCTACCCTTCCACTATAAATGGCTGTCATCCTGATGTCTGTTCTGTCCTATGATACATTATCTCAAGTACCAGGTTTGAATTAGTGGCAAGCAGAGCCAAGTGGGGATTGAACTCTGCCTCCCTGTTTTGCTGTGTTGGGCCTTTAGCTTATACTTGAGGCAGAGCAGACTTTAAAAGGCAGGTCGGTATAGATTTCTCTTAAGCAGAGTCAAAGAATCATGTAGGTGTTACTTGGGGGAAGTTACCCCAAAAAACCCTAGCAAGAGACTGGGTAGTAGAACATAAGGACATAAAACTCAACAATCCATTATTGAATTGGTCATCACTGGGTGCCTGGAGATCCCTCTTGGTGGGCATTCTGAGGAGTCTAATGAAATCATTTGAGAGCTGTCCACCTGCAGGATGAAAATGTGGGAAGCAATTATCCTTTTTCATTTGTTCATGACCAAGGGTGGCCCTCTGGACATTAATTTCCCCATATGTCTTCCTGAATGCTGAGCTGTTGCCCCAGGCACCCCATGCCTAATTCTCAGAGAAGTCTTGGGTCAGATTGTAACAAGAACAGACACAGAGTATGCCTCGTGGGGCAGGTCATAGTCACAGCAGTAATAGTGGGAGTTAGAGAAGGTGAAGTCAAGCAAAAATGTCCACATACTAGCACTGTCTTGTCTGGTATTTATGAACAAGACAGTTTAGGGCATGTGACTGACAACTTCAAGTTGCCCCCATCTTGTTAAATGTCTTTAGCTATGATAACCTGGTGTACTGTTCTTTCTGCTGCTCCCTCGTTTTTCTCATCCTACTCCAATTGCTAAAATGTTCTATTGTTATACTAGTAAAGTTCCTAAGAAACTGGAGTTGAAGGGATCTTAAGAGTCCAGCTTGTTCAAAGCTTTTCTTTGACAGGTGAAAGCATTGAAAGATGGCTACAGCTGGCCCAGAACACTCCACCTTCAGACCCTTTAAACCAGTGGACTTCGGATTGTGGCATGAAGTTTAGCATATTTAAAGAATAGGAATGCCATTCTATGCCCTTAGTGTGAAACTGAAATGTAAAAAGTAATCTCAAATGTCATCATAAATCGTGTAAATGAATAAAGAAATTGAGATTTGGAGTATACTGATGAACCCAGCCTAATTCCATCTTAAAATTGAGAGCCATCTTATCACAAAGTCATGAAAAGTTAATTTCTGTTTTAATATAATTTACTGTGATTTCTAAACTTGCTTGGAATGCCTGCTCGTGCCTTGTACTCACCCATGCCTGGCTTTCCCTGACCAGATAACAACCCTCTCTGAAACCTTAGCAGGGCCTCATAAATTCTGGTGTTGGGAGCTAAATTTACTCCCTAACTTGAAATGTTGAACCATTTAGATCATTAACCTACTATCTACCTTTGTATTATGCTTGTCAAAATTCTGTTATCTGTAAGTTCTCAAGACACTCTCCTTTGCAACTTTTTGTGCTATAAAACTATGCTCCTAGAGAGCTGGGGTACTGTTCTTTAACCCAAGGATTTGGGGAGAGACAGTCCCGGACGGAATTACAAGCTTGCTTTAATTTGATTTAAAATTGGAGTTGGTGGTCTTTTCTTTGCATCGTGGTTTAACAACACAGCAGTCAACTTAATCTTGAGCCGTCTTTTTAATTTTTAAAAATTCTAGTTTTATTGAGATTCAGTCACATACCATAAACTTCACCCTTCTGAAGTACACAATTCGGTGGCTTTTTAGTATATTCAAAAAGTGAAGCATTGATTCTACCAACTTCCAGCCATCTGTAGATTTGCCTATTCTGAACATTTCCTGTAAATGTGATCTTTTAGTATGTGTCCCTTATGTCTGGCTTCACTCCCTTAGCATGTTTCCAATTCTCATCCATGTTGTAGCTTTTCAGAACTTTAATTACTTTTCATGGCCCAAGTAACATTTCATTGTGTGGATGTACTGCATTCTATCAATATGAGTTGTTCTCCTCCTATTTTTGTAAAGTCAGGCAACGGTGATAACCAAAAAGTAGGCAGATTTAAAAAGACCACTGAAGGAGGCTTTATTGAGATTCTACTCCCTGGCAGAACTCTATCAGACCGACAGAGCAGATAAGAAGAGGGTCTGAGGAGAAACCACATGGGGGCTCCATCTGACTGGAATTTTATGGGGCTTAGGGCAGGAAGGGAGGGCTTGGGACAGGAAAAGGGGTTTTTAGAGTCCCTGTCCCACTGGAGTTGGTTTCCTGGATTGCCAGGAGACCCTGCTGATCGGTGTTTCTCTCACTTGCGTGGGCTGCTTGGTGCTTTGTTCCTAAGTCACCTTCATTGCCCTGCCAGTTTGTAATAAGTAATGCTGTGACAAACATTTGTAGATATGTTTTCATCCCTTGGGGTCGTACTAAATAATACGAACATCCCATGTAAATTTTTGAGGAATGCTAGTCTTTTTCCAAAATGTACCATTTCCAATTAGCAGTACGTGAGTGTTCAAATTCACATCCTTGCCGACAGTTTCTTTTTGTTCATATTTTTTATTAAAGCCATCCTACTTGGTTTAAAAATATATTTTTCAAGATATGTTCTTAGGAAAGTATCTGAAATCTGAAGATGTGCTAGGAAGCATATAAACTAAAAGAGATAAAGAGTATTTCTCTCATTATTAGTTTGCACTGTGGGTGGGGAGGAATTGCATCAGAATCATGATCTCTGGATCTCAAAATTCTCTTCCAGTTCCAGCTGTTTATGATCCAGCCTACAGGGTAGTTGTGATACCCCGGTTACTGGTGACGAGTCCTGCTCCCTCACATATCAAAGTATAACATTAGAGAAGCACACCAAGGCAAGCATATAAAGCAGGGTCTATTTAAAAAGGGGTAACAGATTTCTCCCAGGAGGAAGAAGGGGTCCATAGATATTATGCTGGTATCCCAAGAAGTAAGGGTATTTGGCCTGTTTATATGCCCTAACTTCCTTTGTTCTGCCTTTTTCCCCTCATCTCTCTCCTTCCTATGTATGTGACTAGGCCCAGGAAATGCTCTTGGGATGGCCAAAAGGTGAAAAGCAGATGGATGGGGGAAGGGCTGGGTGGAGCATCCTGGACACACTAATTAAACCCCCCCTGGTGGCGGGTGCAATCCCTGGGACAGGTTACCTTAGCAACAGGTTGTTGCCTCCTTGGCATATTCTTGTAAAGGGTGGAGGAAGGGCTCTGAAGGAATTAACATTTCAGTCCCTCAGGGCACAATCTCCAACTTCCTGGACTCACTCAAATAGGCCTTCTTGACCTGACCTGACTCCATTTATCTGTGTGTACTGACTGCCTGTCTAATTCAATGCTGTGAAGAATAGTTTCACTGAGTCAGGGGGTTGCACCCCTGGCCTTTGCATTGCCTGTAGGCCTGGGGAAGCAGCACAGATGCCCACACTCAGGTTACTGCCATTGCCGTAAGAAGTCCTTTGTCTCTGACCCAGGTGTTTCAGGTCTTTTGCCAGCATCCATGAACCACAAACTAACTTGTTAAGTTGAAAACAAGGTAAACTATCAAGCCTTCAGTATTCGAGACAGTCATCGGCTGAGAGTGAGCGTGAAGCTGGGGATTTGAAGAAAGATGAAAAGATACCAAACACTTGTTTTAGAGAGCAGGAGAGTCAACTTATTAAGAAAATGTTGATTTCCTCTGCTATCCATTTGTCATTCAATAGCATATTATTTTATCATTGATTTCTAATTTGATCCCATTATCATCTGATAGAATGCGGGGTATTCTCTCTCTCTCTCTCTCTCTCTCTCTCTCTCTCTCTCTCTCTTTCTTTCTTTTTTGTGTTAAGAATTGTTTTGTGGCCTAAGATATGATCTATTTTAGAGAAGGATCCATGTGCTGCTGAGAAGAAAGTGTTTTTAGTCATTGATGGATGACTATGTATGTCTGTTAAATCTAAATTATTAATTGTATTTTTTTGTTCTATAGATATTTTTTTTTTGTTTTTGTTTCGAGGATCTGTCCAGTGGTGAGAGAGGTGTGTTAAAGTCACTCAATATTATGGTGGTGTGCTCTTTTTGCTTCTTGAAATTAAGAAAGATTTGTTTGATGTATGTAAGTGATGCATTGTTTGGGGCAAAAATATTTATGATTGTTATGTCTTGATGTATAATTCCCTTAAGCAGTATGAATTGCCCTTCTGATTAACTTTGGCTTGAAGACTACTTTATCTGATATGAGGATAGAACCCCTGCTTATAAAGTCAAATTTATCTAATGTTAGGATAGAACCCCCTGCTTTTTATAAGATCCGTTAGAATGATATGTTTTTTCTATCCTTTTACCTTCAGTCTGTGGATGTCTTTGTCTATGAGATGAATCTCTTAGAGAATATTGTTGGGTCTTGTTTTTTAATTCAATTTGCCAGAGTATGTCTTTTGATTGATGAGTTTAGGCCATTTATATTCAATATTATTAAGAAATGATTTTCATTCCCTGTCATTTTCATGTATTTCTTATTTTTAGTTTGAATTAGTTTCTCCTTTGATTGATTTGACTTTTGTAAAGCAGTATGGAGATTCCTCAAAAATTGTGAATGGAATCAACATTTGATTAGTTATCCCACTCTCATTATATACCCAAAAGACTTAAAATCAGCATACTACAGTGATTCGGTCACATCAATGCTTATAGCAGCTCAATTCACAGTAGTTAAGCCGTGGAACCAACTGAGGTGCCCTTCACCAGATGAATGGATAAAAAAATATGGTATATATACACAATGGAGTATTACTGAGCCATAAAGAAGAATAAAATAGCATTTGCTGGTAAATGGATGGAACTGGAGACCATCATGCTAAGTGAAATAAGCTAGCCCCAAAAAACAAGGGCTGAATGTTTTCTCTGATACATAGATGCTAACACACAATAAAGGGGAGAAGAATAGAAGTTCATTGGACTAGACAAAGAGGAATGAAGGGAAGCGGGGATGGGAATAGGAAAGAGTAGAATGAATTAGATATATATAAATTTTCTCCGTTCATATATGAATACATATATTTCATGCCAGCCCAGTTTACCTGGAGTGACCCTGACTGTTTAGTCATGTGCTGCAATACGCATCCTGATTTCCAAGACGGGTTTCAGCAGGCACTTTAGGGCACATACCAGAAGAGCTGTCATTGCCTGTCCTTGGCCTACGTCACTCGTAGCTTGTTGGTAATTCACAGGTGATTAAATAGACCCACCTGTCTTTTTGTGGTACTGTGGATTGACCTCAGAGCCCATGAATGTTGGACACTCCACCTCTGAGCTATACCCCCAGCCCTCTACTTTTTTTTTTTTTTTTTTTGATAAAAGAAAAAAGTAGCTTTCAGTGATTCCAGAGTTGAGATACTGATGCCTGAGTGGATTGGAAGGTGGGGTGACGGAGACAACACAGGAAATAATATGGTTTTGGTCATCTTACTTCACACTCCACTCATGCGCCTCTATCTACAACTAAGCAGTTCTTAAAATAAATAAGCAGAACACGGGTTGGCATATTTATTAAACTACGGGAAACTCAGAAGTTGTGCCGCTGCCTCCTCCGGCACACGCTCTTGTGTGAGCTGGCAGATGTGGGGATGCTCGAGGGCCAGGCGCTCTGCCTGTGTCCCCTTTGCATCTCTGCTAAGGCTCCAGTGGATGCAGAGGGGTCTGAGGGCCAAGGAGTTAAGGCAGGCAGGAGCAGAGCTACAAGGCACCCTTGTCCTGCCCACTGGAATCTATCTGCTGTGGCGTGGCCTGGTCCCCAAGGGGCCGAGTACCTTCCCCAGAAATCTTCTGGTTCTTTTGAGGCTCTCTGTGCCAGGTGCTGCCTCCTCGCTGTTCTCCTCGGAGCTAGAGCTGACAGAAGAGGTGGAGCGCCCTCCGAGCGTGCTGTCCTCACAGGACATCTGCCTGCCCTGGCACTCCTGTGCGCTTGGAGACTTGAGGCTCTGGTTGAAGGAGGCGGAGGCCATGCACTCAGCTGCCGTCTGGTCACAGGCACATAGAAGCTTCTGGCACAGGCTCTGCCCCACACCTAGAGGGCAAAAGCAGAGCAGCAGACATGAGAGATAATGGGACAGCACCCAGGGCCTCCCTGGCCTCCAGGCTGCTCCTTCAGCCTGTCCCCTCCAGTCCCCTCCCAGGCCCCCTCTTGGCTTCTGGTCTTGCTCCAGCTGGTAAGGGACCCTCTGCAGGGGCTGCTCAGCCTTCTGCCTGGTAGACTCATGCTTGTCTGTCTGGACTCAGCTTGGCATCCCCTCCTCCAGACCTCTTTCCTGGGGCTCCAGTTGAACCCACCAGATGGTTCTTCCCATCCTACCAGGCTCTGAGATGGTCACATCACACAGCAATGGTGTATGTTTTCACTCTTCCCTCTTGCTAGACAGCACCGTGAGGACCAATCCATATGTCTGAGCATGTAACTCACTCCTCAACTTGTATTTTCCAAGTAATATTCGCTGGACTCAACTAGTATGTCCTCCCTCCCTGACCAGCATTTCTCCATTTGTCAAATGGAGATTCTTGTCTACCCTATTTTAATAGTAATGGAAAAATACAGGATGACCTCTTAAATTTGAATTTCAGATAATATGTCTGAAAGTTTGATTACTTAAGACATATATTTAAAAAGTTATCCCTGTATATTTGAAATTTGAATTTTCCTAGGCTTCATGTAGTTTTTCTTGCAGGCTCTGGAAAGCCTACTCTTGCTTCAATGCGTAAATCCCATCCAGGGGGTGGTGTGACTCAGATGAGTTGGCATATCTGAAGGTGCTAGACTTAGATAAGATTTCTGCAAATATTATCTGTGTCATCTGTAGTTTTCAGTGGGCTAAAGTTCTCAGGGTTTTTTTGTGTGTGTGTGTGTTTGTGTGTGTGTGTGTGTGTTTTCCTGTCTAAACTTACTTGAAGCATTAAACTATTTTTTTCCACCCTGTACCACACAAACCTTCTAAACTTCCCGAACTGGCCCCTACATGGGCCACAGACAGCAGCAGGAATCAGGAGGAGAGGGAGGAGCCAGTGCAGAGAAGAGATCACCCAGGCTCTGCTCTGGAGGAGCTCTGACTTTTTACGCTGCACTTAGGATCCAAACAGCCCAGACCAGGCTCCGAGATGCCTTCACTTCCCATGATCCACCATGGAGCACCTGGTGCAGGACACGAGCTCATGTGTCACAGAGGGCTGGACTGGAGCTGCACAGGGGTCCCCTGCAGATGCCACTCTCCTGGACTCTAATCCTGGGAGAGGGAGTGAGCCTCCGGCAGCAGTAGGACATGATATCTACCTAATCCTGCCACTCCAAGGTACAAAACCCACCCCTGGCTCCTGTCCCTTGCAGGAAAAAGATGTGTTTGAGTCTTGCTCCTGGCTCCTTCAGGTTCACGATCTGGTGACTATCTAGCTCTCTTCACATTGTGCCACTCAAGGCCCCCACTCCACTTTCTCTTCCAGAATATAGACCCATGTCTTGTTCTGAAGCCTCAGGGCGTTACAGAATACCGTGGTTCTTCTCCTTCCCCATGCCTATGCCCAGCATGACAGTATGGGAACCGGAGAGCCTCCTGCCATCTCCCCTCACCACCCCTTCTGATTCCTTCCAGGCCCCCTGTGCCCACGCCCAGGACCCCTGTTAGTACATGCTGCATGAGATCCTGGTATCTTCCCTGCAGGCTGAGGGACTGGAGGCAAGGATCAGGCAGCTTCACTACTCTGCAGGTTCCTGATGAGGGTTTGTTGGCCAGGTGGATAAAAGAGCAGGTGGGTGAGGGACACGTGAGCACACAGCACCAGGGACCCATGATCCATAAATGACAATGGTCCCACACCACCCAGAGCTCCATGCGCTGTGCTTAGGGAGTGGAGAGGCAGGAGCGGGAGGAAGGCCCAGCCAGTGGCTCCCCTCCTAAGACTGAGGAGCAACAAAACCTTGTCAGGGAGTTCTCAGGGCAGCATTTCCTTTCTGGCTACAAAGCCTGAGAGATGTGCACCTGCTGATGGGCAGGGGGACAGGGCACCGGGAGGACAGAGAAACCTCTTCTGAAGGGGCTGGGAAAGCCTCCGGAAGCGGAGCTGAGCTGAGAACTCACTGTGCAGCAGCAGCACTTACACTTGACCGTGTGGTCCTCGCACACCACCGGTGACGGAGGAAGCCTCTCCAGCACGCAGCCCAGCCGCCTCACGCGCCCCAGGCAGCAGTGGTGGGACACACAGCACCTAAGACCAAGAAAGCCCTTTACTCCTTGGAGCTCCCCACGGACCCAGGACCCTCCTGCCCTGTGCACATGGGGCTGACTCATACACACCCTGGGTGTGGTTGTTCAGAGCACCTGCAGGGCAGCATCAATCACATTATATGTACCCTATCATTTAAAAATTTTATCATATTTTTATTGTGACTCTGTTGATGGCAAATATGGGTGATTTGCATATTTATTATGGTAATTTTCAAAAGATAGAAATAGGAATCTTCAAGAAGGGGTACTTATTTTTAGTTTGCACAAAGGACCCATATAGACTAGCAGTGACCCCCTCTATCAACTCTCTTAATCCTGCATTCTTAGGGCCCTCACCCTCAGCTGAAAGAGAGCACAGTGAGTATCTGAAGCATAAAGAGGGCCTAGATCTAGAACAGCGTCCAGTGTACAGCAGGACTTCGTAAACACCTGAGAATAGTGAATCTGTTTCTTGTTTCTGGACTTGCCTTTCTGAGCGGATGTAGCCTTAGAATCTCCAGTGTCCCCCTAGTCAGATGGATATTCTAGGACAGCGGTGATGGAAGTAGCCAATAGGGAGCTACAGTTGCTGCCCCAAACCTTCCTTTCCATAACTTCCCTGCCCTTTCATGACTCTGGCTCCCTTTGAAGACCACAGACCAAGCAGGGATGAGTCATAGATTTAGAGAATTTTTTTTTTTTTATGGTATCAGGGATTGAACTCAGGGGCACTCAACAACTCAACAACTTTTTCACAGGGACAAGCACCCTAGAAAGTAGACGGCACCACTGGTCATGGGTGGGGTGATTTCCAAATACAATTATCTTTAAACATTATCAGCTCCACTTTTGGAATGTTGCTGAAACTCAGATGGAGTCTTCCATAATTTCCTGTTGCTTCTATGTCTATGGTATCATGTGGTATTTTTGCTTAATTTTCCATCTCTCACTAGGCAAACTTCTATTGGCCATAAGTGGTATTGCTTTACTGAGCTGCAGTCACTTTTGTATCCCCACCACCCAGCACAGCCTGGCACAGAGCAAAACCTCAAGAAATGTGAGTCAACTGCATACATCAATGAATGAACATCAATCAATGTATGCGTAAAATCAGAATCCTTCCAAAGGTGGTGGGAATAAAATTTAACAGTTAAAAGTTGCGAAGAAGATCATTTCAATGGGACCTTCTGTAGGGCAAACCAAGTGAAGACCCCAATTCTGTATGTTGGCCATTGCATCATAGATAGGTTTAGGGTCCTCTGAAGTGTCTTTGCAGACCAGCCTTCTCATGGCAGCTGAGCAGTATTTGTGGTGTTGCTAGATTCCCAAATCAAAAGATCTGGATTAGTCTGACTTGGCCCTTTCAACTAGGGGAGGAATCGCAGACAAGTCAGCCTTTGCACCCTAGATGCTCATTAGGAGATTGGCCCACATGCTGCCCGATTGCCTGCAGAAACTCTTTGTGATGCCGAAGGCAAAATGCAGCACAGCCGTGGCCTCTTGGCTCTCGCTGTTGTGGATGGCCTCTGCCTCCCTCGCCTGCCACCCTCTACCTGCCATACCTGTCCAGGGCATCCTTCGGCTCGCCTCTTCCTTCTCGTCCACAGTAACAGCCATAAGATTCAAATTCCTCCGGACACCGGGACGTCAGACAGAAGAGCATCTCTCCAAATGGCAGCATCACCTGCGTGTTGTCCTTGCTCCCCAGGTGCAGGAAGGTGAGTCTGTCACAGACTGATTGGGAACAGAGACTCTCAGGAGATCAAGGAATGTCAGCAGAGTTGCCAAGAGCAGGGCAGGGTTCCAGGCTGCACAAGGACAGCCCTGGGTGGCACGAGGAAACCTCTGACAGAGTGGGGCTGTGGCTTGTCCTCTCTTTGGGATACACTGTGTCACAGATACACTGTCCCCTGGCTTCTAATACTCTACCAGACTCTCCATGAGATCCTAAGGGAAGGGGACTTGCTGGGACCAAGGATGGTCTTTATAACTGGACAGAGCTGAGCATCGTAGACAGTCTTGTCTGTCCTCCTGGACTTCTGGGCCCAGTTAAGCTAGCACACTTGGCAGCCGTGTCTTTCTGAGCCCTTGGATTTCTTTTCCTGTGTTTGTTCCTTAGTCTCTACCCTTCTACCCTCTCCTCTGCCTTCAACTTTCAAATGCAACTTTCTCCACATTTGTGCACTGCCCTCCAGACATCAATCAGGCTTCCTCTGGACCCAGCTGACCGTGGTTCCTTGCAGGTACAGGGCCTTTGATAGGACATCAGTGGGAAGAGGGACAAGGGAAGGATGATTAGGACCCAAGCGCTTCATTCTTTACAGTAAACCCTGGTGTGGACCAAGGCAGGCTCTTCCCATCTGGGCCAGCAAAGGCAGAGCTGTGGCAGCAGCAGGCCAAGGGTGGAAAGGCCCTGGCTCCATCCCAGGTTCAGCCTCACAACAGCCAGTGACAACAGACAAGTCACATGCCCTGGAGCCTCACTCTTCTGATCATTACGGGGAGGATACCCCACAACGTCAGAAGCCGGCAATCAGACGAGGTGGCTCCAGGTTCCCTGTCAACAGCCTAACCCCAGGATCTCAGGGTGGGAGGACAGTCATCCTCCAGCTTCCAGCCTCTGCCTACCTTTCCTAGTTGCCTCCTCAGGTCCACTTGCAGAGGATGGCACCGCCAACCCCGAAGATTTAAGGCCTGCAGGGATGAGGGTGACCTCTTTGGCTGTAGCAACCTCCGCAGATCCTAAAATGCACACCTTGAGGGTTAAGGTTCAAAAAGCAGCTCAAGGACAGGTTTGCAGATGGACAAGGCATCTCAGAGCACAAGAGCTTTGGGAAAGTGTGCCTCCACCTGGGTCTGCAGACATGGCAGCAGGTCCTTGGGGTCCTTGAGTTCTATGTGAGGATTTCCAAGTGTTTACAGAGGTCCTAGCATTGATGGGAGCCTACACTCGGCCACAGGGGTGGCAGCTCATGCACAGAACAGTGGTGGCACCTCAGGCCTGTTGTGGATGGTCAGGACACCCACAGCGAGTGATGAGGCAAAGGGAATGGAGGAAAAGGCCACCTCGTGGTACAAGGATGTAGCCAACCTCCGACTTCCTCGTCCTGTGCAGCACCACAGGCTTCTCCTCATAATTTAGCATCAGATGACCAGCAAGGCTGCCGGCTTCTGCCCTTGGTCCAGCAATCCTCCCTCTCCGTATTTACCCAAACAAGTTAATCAGAAGCAGATGGGCATAAAGTATGTATCTACCATTCATAATAACAAATGTTGGAAGTGATTGGTTAAATAAGTCATTCCCATATAAGGAGATATTGTACAGGCGCTACAACTCATGTTACAGAAATGTGATGTCTACCGTCATGTCCAGTGACAGGGTGCTGCCCCACACTGCTTCAGACACACCTCGACTACAAAGCAAGGACATCAAGCAGTCGCAAGTTATGCTCATAGATATGCTAGAGGAAGACTGGGGAAAAAAATCTTCAAATATTAAAAGTGTCTTTGTCTTGTCGAATTATGAGTGACTTAAATGGAGCTAAAAGTAATTTTCTGTATTTATCTGAATGCATCTTTTTACCAGATATCTCCCATTTCTTCCTAAAGAATCTTTTGATTTTATTTGTGTCCTTTTTGGATGGACAGGAATGTAAAAGTACATTGGCTTCCATGACACCTTCCATTTGGGGTTTGGCCTCAAGTCTCATCTGGAATTCTTTGAATTCATAGGTGTTTGGGGATGATTACATATACAGGAAGAAGGAGCCAGGTGTGCTTACCTGGAGGGGGTGTGGCCCTAGCGGCCTCCGTGCCTTCCCGATCTTGGCCTGGCTCTGGAAAAGGAGAGAGAGGAGAGACAGGGTAAGCGCTGACCTGGCCTGTTCCACCTGGGGGCCAGATGCCCCCCCTGCTCCAGGTGCAGGAGGTCAAGTGCTCTTCCTGCTGCTCTTTCTCTGTCTCCCGTGGTGAGGGTTTGTGGGAGAGCAGAAGAGAGGTCAGAGGACCCCGGCCTCAACATAGGCTCACTGGTCAATTCAGCTGCAGCGCGTGGGCTGGAAGCAGGGGAGTTTGTTGCAATACCTGGGAATGTGGCTTCTCCAGAATTTGGAGGACAGAAAGACTAAAAGAAAAATTGCATTTTTGATCAGAGAGCATGCAGTACAGAGACTGGTGGATGCATGGTGGACGGTGCTGGCTGCTTCTCTGTAACGTGAGTGACTATGGTAGCTATTAAGCACTTACTGCCTCTGACCTGGCAATAGGACTCTCTAACTCTGGGACAACCCATGAGCTGGCAGTAGCATGCTCATGCTCCTTTAGAGGGGGACAGGCAGGAGAGTCAGTCACTCTCCAGGCCACCGAGCTAGGAAGGGGCAGGCGCAAGCCAGGCTGCCTGGATGAAGCTGGGTTAGGGTTAGGGTTGCTCAGCTACCACGCCACGTCCTGCTGGACCACAAAGAGCCAGAAATGCCCAGGAAAAATTCTGTGGAAATGAGAAACCGCCTTCCCTCTCACAGTCTCACAGAGATGGTGGCACTGTGTGAACACCAGGCTGGAAGTTCTCAGCCAGGGCACTGTGCTCCGGGGAAGAGAAGGCACTGGGCAGACTGATCTCTTCAAAAACAAAATCTACAGAGCCAGAGCAAGGACTTGAGCTGAGCCACCTGGGCAACCCCTGCCACCCTCTGGGCTTCTGCATCTGTAACGTGGGGACAGCAACAGGCTCCTAGGACCAGCCTAGGGCCAGCCAGGACTCCCTCAGAGACGGACAGCAGGAAGGGACTCAGAAATACACCAGCACATTGGAGGCACCCGGCAAAGCCACTGCCCGGGGTCCATTTGCTTTCTTGTTCATTCTGAGTGACTATCAGGTCACTATTTTCAGTTCCTTGTACTTTTAAAATAAAGGCTCCTTGGTTTTTAGTCACCACAAGCAAAGCAAATGGCCAGGTTAATTCCACCAAGAAATTTTGGCCTAGATATTTTTAGGTAAGACGGTGTGTTCTGTGTCACCATAGAATAATGAAAGAAAATAGTCACACAGCCTCAAGTTGGGCTCAGAGACCAGGCTGCCAGGTCACTTGCTGAGTGACTTAGAACTGTAAGCTCCCTGAGCCTCAGTGTCCCGCATATTCTGTGAAATGATTAAAATAGTTCCTCTGGGCCCCATTAAGAGGTCACTAGTCACTGCGACAGAGCACATGTTTGGTGGCACCTCTCCACCGGACCCTGCCTGCCTCCTTCAGGATCTGTCTGCTTACTTATCCTCTGCCGCCTCTGGTGTCAGGAGCCGCTGTGGAAAGAAGCCGCCCAGCTTCAGTTATGGATCCAGGTGGGTGCCCTGAGCCCAGAGAGATCACCTGCCAGGGGTGAGGACCGAGAAGTGAAAGCCATGACCACATGTCAGGGCTGTGGCTGCACACAGTGCCTTAGGAGGTTCCAGTCCAGTGGCTCAGGGCCAGGACTTGTTTAGGCAGAAAGACCAGCAGGAAACCTCTTTAGGAGTGAGAGGCCATTACTTCCCCAGGTTGGAGCCGTCCTTATGGAAGGCAACTGCAGAAGGAAGCTGGTCTAGGGGTAATGACAGGACCTTCCTCCTGTCCCAGCCCTGCCACTTGGCTATGTGCTGAGGACACTGCATCTGCACCTCAATTTATTATCTTAAAATGGACATTATGACCATTTTTCCTAGAGTCCTTTGAGCATTAAATGCAATTATACACTACAAGCAGGTCATCCAGGGTTCAGCTTGATTGGTGGCATGTGCTTAGGGACAGGTACAACCTGTCCTTAACAACCTGTCCAACACAGCTGAAAAATGGAGAGGCCAGGATCTGACCCTGAATGTACCCTGAATTAACCCATGGTATGGTGATAGGATGGTGAAGACAGTGATGATCTGTTTCTTTTTTTCACAAACTCCCCCACCTGCACAGTGGGACATGTTTTCTTGACCCCACAACAGGTGGCCTCTGCCTGGAGGGATGCCTGTCCCCGGGTGTGAGTGCGTGTGCAGGCAGCCACCCCCATTCGGGCCTTCGACACCTCAAGGAACCTCATTTCCTTTCCGTCTTTCCCAGAGATAAACCCTGTGCTTCCTTCTTGCCTCAAGGAGAGGACAGTTAAAGCATAAGAACTCAGACTTTGGAGAATGTGCCAGTTGAGGGTTATTTCCTGGTGGTCTCATGGGGCCAGGATTACACAGCAGTTCCTCAAGTTTGGAGAATTTTCCCTAAAGAGAATGCAAATCGCCCCTGACAATCATGCTTGGCTGGTTGTTGGGTAGGATATAGAGTGGGGCGTTACTTGGGTGATATTTTCTCTTCTCTCTAAACATGGACCTAAGGGCAGGCTGTCTGGGAGCAACTGGATGAGATGCTCTTGGCCACTTTGGGGACCGCCAGGAGGGAAGAGCAGCATGGCCTCTGCTCCAAGCCTCTTGGCCCAGCGTCAGCAGCTCTGGAGGAGGGAAAGAGCCAACTCTGGGAAGGTGGTGTGCAGAGTGACCTTCTGAGGGGCAGGCTGGCCTGACTTAGAAAGCAAAACTATAGGATGCCCAGCTACCTCTGGGTTTCAGACGAACAAGAAATAAGTTTTTGGTGTTGTTTCATGCAATCCCTGAAAAACACATATCTCATAAAGGTGCTCATCTGAAATTGAGCTCTACCAGGGTGGGCATGCTGCCCTTTACTTGGTAGTCGTCCAGCGATGGGGACAGGAGAGTGAGGGAGGAGATTTGGGGTCAGGAAGAACCAGGGGCTCTGAAATGCACTTGGTCAGTTCCATAACCGAGCAAGCAGGGTAAATTTTAAGGAAGCAGGTGCCAGCAGGTGGGGGGTGGCTCAATTGAAATGAGGATACTGGGGTCCACACCAGCCCTCTGTGCTCACCTTCTCCTGAGACGGCTGTCAGGCTGGCATCTGTGGGTTCTGCAGGAGCCACTGGGGAAAGAGAGGCCCGGACAGCGCTGACCATGCAACACAGTTTCAGGACCAAGCACAGAGTGTAGAAGGAGAATCGTCTGGGGACCGAGGGACCATGGAGCTGGGGCAGGGGGAGGACTGAGCACAGGTTGCCAAGGGGGAGCTGTCCATCCTGCATGAGGGTGTCCTTGATCTCCAGCTCCCTCCAAAACAGGGGCCGCCCAGCTAGTGACAAGGTGATCTTGTCACCAGCTCAGGAGGAACTGCAGAAATGGTGGGGTTCTGATGGGGAAGGTAGGCCCTATCAGACATGGGCAGAAGGGAGTGAGAAGATTGCAAATGCCCAGCACCTCCTACAGTATGTCAACTGTTCAAGAGGCAGCACAGATGGCAGAGGACTCAAGCCCTCCGTGATGGATGTGGACTCAGAAGACACAGAAATATAGCATGCATACAGCCCTGTGTGTACACCCTTAAATACCCAAGCATCTACCCACATACATATCCCCCCCACACACCTACACACGTACTCCTATGCATGTGCACGCGCGCACACACACACACACACACACACACACGTTTGCTCTTTAGCAAACACTGCACAGCTAGTTCTGGAAGAGGCCCCTGCCCCAGGAGAGGTGGGATGCTCCGCCAAGGTGCACCTGGGACCTCCCATCCTCCCATCCCCAGGTGCCCAAAGGTGCCAGGACTGAGAGCTGATTGAGATTTTGGTGAGCTAGGACTGGCAGGCATAAACTTGGCTCCTGTCTTTTCCTAAGATCCACATTTTACAGTAAGAATTATCATTTGCTTGGTTCGGTGGACCGGGATGAAGAATCAAACCTGTCCAGAAAAGACACATGAAAACAGCTTCCCCTTAAAGTGCCTGGGCTGGATCCAGGCTGCCCCTTCTGCCCAGCTCTGGTCAGCACAAGGAAGGAGGGGAAGGAGGACAGGGGAGACCTGGGTCTGTCCCCAGGAGTCCATGCAGCTGGGAAGGGCCTTGCTCCTCTGAGCACCGGGTCCTGTCCTAGACATGCCCATGCCAGGGCTCGGACTGGAGAGGGAGAGGGGGAGACACAGAACTGGGATCTACGTCCTCACTGGGTTAAGCTGACACCTTGGTCTGAATCATAGACAGTCCATTTGTGGAGCCAACCATTAGCAAGGGACAGAGTTTGCTATGGGCCCATTTGATTTTGGGTGTCTGCACAGAAATAATCACATCTCCTAGCTGCGGGAGGTGGGGACAAGTCAGATGTCACGGGGTGCTCCAGCTTCTGTGAGGTGGGCTTAGTAAAGGAGGGGTGTCCACCAGCTGTCCTCACCCCAGGGCCTGGTATTCCCAGTAAGAGCCAGCTTCCCCGTGGCCTCACCTCCAGGCAGCAGAGCCGTGGTGTCTTTCCTGCTGCTCGTCTCTGGAAGGGAAGTGCACAGGAGTGTTCAGGGAGCGGGTGGGACTTGGCTGAAGGTGCTGTGCGTGGATCCCGGGAAACCCACCAACAGCCGGTCCCACGCCAGCTCTGACACAGGCCCTGTGCTTCCTACCTGGAGTCTGAGCCAGGCACGAGGAGGTGTCCACAAGGTTCAGGGAGGAGTTGATGCCAGACTGAGCCAGGCACTCAAGGGCAGCCTTGTCACAGGTGCACAGCAGGTGACTGCAAGGGTCTGCAGACTCTGGGCACAGAGCAAGAGCAGGGCAGGTGGAGAGATCCCAGTGGGTCTCAGAGGTCACAGGAGTCCCACAGCAGAGCCCCCAATGTGCCCCACGAGGCCACCACCCCTGCCACCTTCCTCCTGTCACATCAGTGCCACTGCCTCAGAGGACCCGCCTGGGAGTCACACTCAGGCATCCACAGGCAGCTCCATGGGCTCCGCCTTCCTTGGAGTTAGTCTGGCCCTATCTCCACATCTCCATGCCACCACCCCCACGGAGCCACTGTCATCTCCTGCCTGATGGCATTGGTGGCCTCCCAGCTTGGCCCCGTCCCTGCCCACCGTGTCCTCTGTGTCCTCATTGGGAAGACAGAATACACTTCAGAATTCAGTAAGCATGGCAATGACTTCCTGACGTGGCCTAGGGAACGTCGCAGGATTGTCCCCCTCTCCCACACCCCTCCTCACCTGTCTTTCTGTCCCCCTTGTTTCTCAAGTGCTCCAGGCACCTGAGCCTCGGGCCACCCTAGTGCCCTGCCTGGTTGCCTCTCTCCTGCCCTGGGAGCTGCTGGTTCGGCTCCCGCCTCTCCTTGCCCAGCCGCATCACCCCAGGAGGCTCCTCCTTCCTAACAGGGCCCGGCCCAGCCTGCCTTTCCCTGACTCTTGGTCCTCCACAGCTCTTGTCACCACCTGACACATCACTTGTCTTTTGGACTACCAGGGTCTGACAGTTGTGAAGACAGTCTGGCAGGTCAGGAGGTCCCCACACTGAGGTGACTGTCCCTGCTGGTGTAGGCGCTCACCCAGGGCTGGCCGTCAATGGATGGGTCCTGCTCTCTGCACATGGGTCCCTTACCCGGTGGTTCACACCCAGCGCCTCCCTCCATCCTCCCTGATGCTCCATGCACCACCCTGTCCTTGTGACCTGGACTTGAGAGTCGGCTGACCCTGGGTCCAGACCCTGTGGTCCTGCCACTGGGCAGCTATGTGACTCTGGGCAGGTTATTTAATTTCTCTGGGTTTTCCCTCCTTTGTCTGAAAATTGAACAAAGGTCCCCATCCCATGGGTCTGTCAGGGGGGTCAGAGCAGCTGTGCATAAAGACCGTCCAGCAGGCCTTGCCTCTGTGCCCTCTCCTACTCTACTTGCACTAGGATTGCCGAAGACTTGGAATGTGAGTCCTGGACAAGGTGGAGAGCTGAGACCCGACCCTGTGTGTGGTGACTCTTACAGACAGCAGCCACCGTGGGCCTCATGCCCTCATCCCCACTTCCACTTCCAGGGACGTCACTGAGTTAGTGTACACGGTGACTGCAGAGGTCATGTTACCAGCATTGCTTACTTCATAATGCAACCCTGAAGTAGGTTTTCTCCTCCCCGTAGTGAGCTTCAGAGAAGTTTAGTGATTGCCCCACCCAATGTGAAAGCAGCAAACTAATGCCCCTCACAAGCCCCAGGGTTGCTACAATTACAAAATTACAAACCAGATAATCTGCTGATTGACTATGGCTTCAATTTAAAGAAATGTTTGTTGCACATCTACTCTGTGCCAGCTACAGATGCCACCGACCCAGGCCTCGGGTACCTAACCATTACCAATGACGTTGCCAATGGCAACAATGATGCAGAGACCCCAGGACCCCTCAGCCACACCCAGGCCTGGGTCCCTGGGTCTCCACCCAGCCCCAGGACACCTGCAGATGCTCACCACATGTGACCTTCTTGCTGATGCAGTCAACTTTTGCGCTGAGCCTGGAGGGGTCCTGGTGGCAGTCCTGCTCGGAGGCTTCCTCGTAGCACCTGCGGTGCTGGAAGCAGCAGCTGTGGCAGCGGCAGGGTAGGGTGGGCGGGGTTAGGACTGGGGAGAGGCAGGCAGCCCAGAGTCACCCTGCATCTCTGGATGACCTCAGGAGCTGGCTGTTTCAAATACTCTGTGTGTGTATATGCGTGCACGTGCGCACACACACACATACACACACACACCACACATACACACCATCTGCTAACCCTCAAGCATCAGAGGGCAGGTCTGCATGTGCTGGCACTGGCACGCAGGCTTCCACAACCAGCAGGATAGGCTGGATCTGAGTGTGAAGGTATCTCCGAGAAGGTAAGGATCAGGTAGATAGCGTCCTCACCTAGATGCTAAGCCTCTGAAGGTGCTTCAGTCACCACTCCCTGCTACTGTCCACTTCCTTCTGGGAAGCCATCCCATCTCATAAACAGCAGCAGTTTGGCTCCAACTCTGCCTGGCATCGTGCAGTGGCCAACTGCCCTATCTCCTGTCTGCTTGTGGGTGGTGGCAGATGTAGCCTTATCGGGTGCTTGAACTGACCACTGGAGACAAGGCCAAGGACACAGACCCCAGGAGCTCTGCAGCAATGGGAAAAGGAGTCTTCACACCATTCTGCATGGAAGGCCCTGCCTGAGATACACAGAGCAGCTTAGTGGGCAGGTGGCTTCTTTATTAAAACCCTCTGTCTCCTCTTGTATCTGCAAAAGGTGTTTGAGATCCCATTAAGAGCAGGAAGATGGAGAGGAAAGAGCAACTTTCATATTCTAGAGGTGAGGTGATTGATTAAATACTAAGACCTGGGCTGGGCCCAATGCCTCAGCAGTCAGACACAGAACAGCTCTCTCAGCCAGGGGAGCTTGGGTTGTGCCAGATGGTATTAAAAAATGTAAAGGACAACGCCTTGCTCTGGATGTGCAGCTTCTCACACCACTGTGTAGACCTGGACTTTGGGGCCAAGAGAGGAGAAATTACTTCTCTGAGGACACACTGCAATTTAGTGGTGGAGTCGGGGACAGGCACAGAGCAAGGTGTGGACATAGGATGCTGTCGGGCAACACAGGGCGATCGGCTGCTTAAAGATAGAACAAAATCTGATCTAGACAAAACGAGAACCAGGGAAGGCCACATTCTCTGCCAAACATTGTAAGTAGAGAGCTCTGCTGGCTTGAAGAGAGCGTGGGAGGCTCCCAGGTTCCAGAAGACTCTTTTAGAGCTCCGCAGTATCTGAAGACCAGCAAGCGGAAGGGCTGAGGCAGAGGCGATCCATGGCACTCAGATGACACCCCACGCTGGGAACCTGTCTCTCCCTCTGGTGCCATGGAGCAGCACTGTTTGGGAGGATGCAGTCCCAGCCCTGCCACCAGCCCTGCCGCTCTGGCTCTTGGGACAGGCTGAGTGGGGCTCTGCAGCTGGTCTGAATCTACTTGCACTGATGACCTGTGGTCTGTCTTGGGCAACTTACCCCTTTTTCAAATTTACAGTATTTGCTGGGAGGAAACCGAGTCTCAGAGAGGCTCACTATTAACAGTTAGCATTTTTGAGCATTCCAGGGACTGCTCTAAGCACTTTACATTTAATGAGCCTGTTGTGAATGGAGAATCTCAGGTTCAGGGCCCACGCAGGACTTCAATCCTGTGCCTGGGGCAGAAGGGTGGGGCTAGAAAACTATCCTGGGAACTGCATGGCAGAGCAGGGACGGGAATGAAGCCGGCAAAGGAGCTCCTGCAATCAGACACCTCTTCCTCAACAGGAATAAGGACAATGATTACTGCTGCTTGTTACAGCAGCTAACCTTTGCTGAGTGCCTACCATGCAGTGGCCCCCTGCTTCTAAAGCTTGTCAAGGGTTAATTCATCTATCCCTCAAGTGGATCCCAGGCACCAGCTGTGATTATTACTATGGTCCTTTACATATGTGGGTGCTGAGATACACAGGCTGTGACTTGCCTGAGGTCCAGCTTGTTCACAACACATGCTGATGCTGGAGCTGGGTGGCTCTTGCAGTGTAGACAGATCAGTGAGCATTGTAAGGAAGAAAAATCACATAGACAAATGATGACCTTGGACAACTCACAAGGATTTCTAGGAATCAAGATCTATCTAGATCCTATTATGTATCAGGCACTCAATCAATAACAGCAATGATTTTTGGTGTCTAGCAGTAAGTTCAAGATGGAAATAACCTGCACTGTGGAATTTGGAAGTTCCCACCCACCCATTGAACTGTATAAAGCAATTGAAATTGGGTGCAGCCCACTATTCCACTTTGATCTTTCATCTGGGATGGGAGGCAGTGATGAATTATTGCTTCATTTCTCCGACTGCTAGGTTTACAAGGTCTTATAATAATTAAATGAAGGGGTAAGGGTGTACCTGAAATGAAAGCAGGTTCCCAGAAATGGCCCTGGCCCGTACCCCACGCAGAGCCAGCCTCTTCAGGAGTCAGTTTGCTCCTGGTCCTTAAGGTGGGAGACTGCCCCTTTGATCCACTGGAAACCTACACACTCTCGAAGGTCTGGAGGTGGGATGGATTTGTTAATTCCAAAACCATTGTTCTTTGTCATCCAAGTATTGTTATTTATTTATTTGAAGCTTTTACCACTTTTTATTTATTTGCTTAGTTCTTTGAATCTTGGAAAATCAATTGGAGGCTGATTACCTAGACAATAGTTACCTCATTGAGTTGCTACTGCATGCCGGGTATTATTATCAGTGCCGGAAACACAGAGAAAGGACAGGGTGCAGACCCTCTGTAGAGAGTGTGGACTGGAGTGGGGAGACAGGCCCTGTGCCCACACTCTCACCTGTGTAGGAGCAGGTGTCTGGGGAGCAGAAAGGTTTCCCTGGTGCCTAGGGGTCAAGACATCTGAAGAGGGTGTCCTGGAGGAGAAACAGCAGGCCAGGCAGGAGCTGCCCAGCATATCACCTAGGGGACCCCTTCCCACCTTCTATGAGCCCACATGGGCTCACAGGCTCCACTGCACTGGATTTGGGCACAAGGGTAAAAGCTGCGAGTGACGGGCATGGTTCATGGAGGGGTTGAGGCCTGGGGACTCCATTTCCCACTTCCACATGGATTCTGCTGCCGATGCTGCTGTTACTATGGCTTCAGACACTGTTATTATTACCACCACTTCACTAGTGCTATGCTACTGCACGACTGGGACTACCACAGTCCCCACTGCAGCTGCCTGGCTCCTGCTGCTAGAGCTCTTTCCACTGTGGCTACCAGTCACTAGTGCTCTTGGGGTACCTTCTTCATAAGCCAGGCAGAGGCCCGGCCGCTTTAACTTGAATTTGGAGATTTAATACTAAATTATAACCCTCTGAAGTAAGTGTTCTTAATAGCGATTTTTAAAGATAAAGGATTGGAGAGCAAACAACTTAACTTGCCTAAGATGGCAAAGTCAGAAAGGACAAGAGGCTTAGAATCATGGGTCATAGGCAACAGGCCTTAAAATTTTAACAGAGAGCACTTCATTCCCATAACTCAAGGGCCCTCCTGCTTCCTGTACCTGTTGGCATAACCCTGCTTTTAGGTTTCAGGTTTCATTGACAATCTTGGTGTCTTGTCTCAGTGGGCGCTTCCCTTGTACATGTGGATGTGCGCATCTTTACTGGACACTTCGATTCTCTTATTTTCCACAGTAGACATTTTCCTCTTTAAAGCAGGGGTGATTTTCTCTTTTCTTAAGCACAGTGCTCATATATCATCATATTTTTGCTTTTATTTGTTAAAAAATGAATAGAAACCTTCATAGTTGTCTCACCTCTGGTGGCCAGAGCTGCTCCAAATAAAACTATTCTTAAATTTCATTATGCAGAAGAGTCAAAGGGAGCTTGTGTAAATGTAGACCTCCACGTTCCACCTAAAGATAGCCTGAGTAATAGGTCTGGGATGGATCCTAGGAATCTGCATTTTCTTAAATACCTTCGTTTTTATTTATTTATATGCAGTGCTGAGAATCGAACCCAGTGCCTCACACATGATAAGTCAAGCGCTCCACCACTGAGCCACAACCCCAGCCCCAGAGTCTGCATTTTTAACAACACACAGGAGGTTCTGATGCAGGTGACCAAACTCTGAGCAACACCACAATGCAGCTTTGCCATTTGGCCATCACATGGGCTCTTGGTATGTGCCCACCACCTACAGCAGGTCACAGGTCACATGGCAATGTAAAGAGGAGAAAGCATCACCCTGCTGGTAGCTAACAGGATGGAGACCTCTCCCAAGTGAGTGCCTAGCCCAGGGCCCTTCCCATCCATCAGGCCCCCAGGGTCCACCCATGGGTCCTGCTCACCTGTCCGTCTCATCCATGGGGAGTCCATCCATCTCAAACCTGCAGGCGCAGCCATAGTCTTCAAAGTCCCGAGGACAGAGATCAGCGACGCACTTCATTCCGTGCACAAATTGGAGCAGCAGAGGGAAGTTGGTGAAGACGGCCTGCAGCCAGGTGAAGCGGGGGCCCAGGCAGTCTGGGGAGGAGCGGTGCAGGGGCTGGTGGGCACTGGGAGCCAGGCCCAGGAGGAGCCTGTTCCCTGGACTCCCTATCCTTTGGGCTGCTGGGATCTCGTTAGCATAGTGAGGCCCACTGTGTCCTCGTCACATAGTGAGGCCCACTGTGTCCTCGTCACATAGTGAG